TTTTCTAAATATGCTAGACTTCAATGATAAACCAATGTTGATTGTCTAACAAGGTTAAAAGGAAAAATATATTTTGTTTTAGATATAATTGTACCATTGGTTTCTATGAGAACTAAAACTTTGAAATGCGTTTATCTCGGACCCATTTTCATGCACTGATGAGTTCATTACTCGCTAAGTTATTTATGAACCGATTTTCTAAATTTTTTCGCAAAAAAACATGCAAGGATGAATGCTATGCATTGGTATGAATTGTGGCTTATTAAAAGATACCTGTGACCTCTAAAAGTTGGTTTTAAATAAATTCACGAATTTTTGAACAAAAAGTCCTTCAAAAACCACTTTTTGATTTAAAAAAAGGTTTCACATATCAAACTTTGATAACACTGGGTAAGACTACAATATAAACCAAAGTGGTTTAAACTTTATATGGGGACTTTAACGACTAGAAAACAGCATCTCCTAGGTATCAGCAAATAAAATTTGAACCAAATCTGTCTACTGGTAGACAACTGTTTTTAAGTTATCAAAGATTATGTTTTTCACGAAAAATGGCAGTTATTTTGAAATTCAGCTGCCATCTTGAAAATTCCTTTTGAGCAGAGCTAGTTTATCATGAGGCATCAAAATATAAAATTTTAACCAAATCCATCAACAAGTATTTGAGATTTGTTTTTACATTTTTTACAAGAAGCGGTGGTCATTTTAAATTGAGTAGGCATATTCAAAATTCCTTCTTGAGTAGAGCTCATAATACACTCATAATACACCCATAATCCTATATAATTTGAATCATCACCCAGATACAAAAATGAACCAACGAATGGACAGACAGATGAATGGATGGAAGAATGGATGAACGGATGGCTTCTCTTAGCCTCCTCAAACTTCGTTTGGTCAATTTGACACTCCCCCCCCTGTGACACACTCCCCTTCTGTGATACCCTTCTCACGAATCCCTGTACCACTCCCACCACTGTAACCCCATCCTCTTGTCTGACATCCCCCATCCTCTGTGACATACTCCCTTCCTGTGTCACCCTTTCCTTTTGACACCAACCCCTACAACACCCTCCCCCTGTAACACAGTCTCTTGTTTGACACCCCCTTTTTGTATGCCAGGAGTGAGCAAAAAATGAGATTGCATTTGAGACTTTCTGGGCATTTTAAAATTTCAACTTATAAAATGTATTATTTTGTTTCTCACATACATATGTATATGATTGTTGTTACACTACAGGGAGAGGGGTGGGTGTCACAGAGGATGGGGTGTCAAACAAGAGGATGGTCTTATAGGGGGAGAGGTGTTACAGTAGTTGGTGATAAAAAGAAAGGGTGTCAGAGGAGAGGAGGATATTACAGAGTGTGTCAAATAAGACAGTGTTACAGGAGAAGACATGGTGTTACAGGGGTAAGTGAGAAAAAGAAAGTGTGTCAAAGAGGGAGTTTAACAAGAGGATGGTGTTACAGGGATCAGTGACAAAAAGAAAGGGTGTCAAAGGAGGGGAGGACATTACAGAGGGAATGTCAAATAAGAGGATGATGTTACAGGGGATGTTACAAGGGTTGGTGACAAAAAGAAAGAAAGGGTGTCACAGGAGGAGAGGGTGTCACAGAGGGAGTCAAACAAGAGGGGAGTGTTACAGGGGTTGGTGACAAAAAGAAATGATGTCACAGGAGGGGAGAGTGACACAGAGGGAGTCAAACAAGAGGATGATGTTACAGGGGATGTTACAAGGGTTGGTGACAAAAAGAAAGAAAGGGTGTCACAGGAGGGGAGGGTGTCACAGAGGGAGTCAAACAAGAGGGGAGTGTTACTGGTTGGTGAAAAAAAGAAATGATGTCACAGGAGGGAAGGGTGACACAGAGGGGGTGTCAAGCAAGAGGACGTGTTACAGGGAGATGTAACAGGAGTTATTGACAAAAAGAAAGGGGGTCAAAGGAGGGGAGAATGTCAAAGAGGGTGGGGGTGTTAAACAAGAGGATAGTGTTACAGAGATTGTTGGCAAAAAGAAAGAGTGTCACAGAAGGGGAGAGTGTTACAGAGATGGGGTGTCAAAAAAGAGGACGATGTTACAGGGGGTTACAAGCATTGGTAGCAATAGAAAGTGTGTCACAGGAGGGGAGGGTGTCACAGAAACAGAATTGCTTTATACCACTTTATTTTAAATTGTTAGCAACTGGCAGCTTATCAAGATTTGTAACTGCATGAATTATGAATAAATATAACATGAAATGAAAAAGAGGGGGGTCAAACAAGAGGACAGTTTTACAGGGGGAGTGTTACATGGTTTAAATACCATCCTGCTTATACTGTCCTCCAATGTTAATAATCTGTTGTGTCTGCGCGTTTTACAGAAATCTGTACTAGTCTGGGTCAAAATGTTATTAATTACGAGGAACCAGGTTGCTAATCTTATACAGTGGGAGACATTAATAAACCTCAACAATCAAAAGTTGTCAAAATGAGCTAAATTCTAAGTTTCATGTCTCAAACTCTCCCTAGAAAAATAATTCCCGTTCACTTTAAGTAGCACAATAATTGAATCCAAAGCTTCATACCTGCAAATGATAGATAAATTCAAACGAATGTTTTCATGGATCGCCATGTTTGTGATCCAAGGTGGATTGACTTCCAGAATGCAACATCAGTTAACCTTATTTACTTGTGACAGGTTTCAAAATGGCGGAACAGCATTCTGAAAGCTAGCACGTGTCATGTTGTATTCTGGGAGCCAATCCTCCCCGCAGCGTAATTGGGCTCCAAAATCACCTCAACATTTGAAGAGTTGGCATTAACATGTGAATATCACTTCAAATTTTTAAGTTCCTATGGACACAAATTCCACTATATTTGAAGGTTCCAGAACGGAGAAAATAGAGCACTCAATTCACTCATTCTAGATTCACTGAGGTAAGAATTTATGACATATGTGACAGAATGTCTTTTTTATATTGTTACAGTAAAATTTTAAATGTTTGGAACTTCTTTGAATTTAAAAAATAAGCAATCAAATGAATAATATACCATGGTCATGGCAGGATCCTTGCGAAACTTAAAAACACTTAAAGGACAACTGAAATAGCTTTTTCTCAACTTGCAGCTACAAAAATTAGATAACTGCTAATGGTCATAGATAACGAAATAAAACTAACTGATCAAATTAAATTGGCCCCCACGTGATTAGTAACGTCATATACAAAATGTAGCTTTGGTTTATGGGTACCTTAGTAATGAAAACGTCACGGCAACCATAGGATTGTTGTGTAAACAAATAACAAAACATTTTGGCATTATGACGTCATGATCTAATGAACCAAAACGGGCCACGTGGGGACCAGTGAGAGATCACGTGGGGGCCAATAACGTCACAACCAATTCGAATATTGCTTATTAAGCAGCTTTAAAGATCGTTAGAGTGAAATAATTTTCACACTACTGATGAGAAAACATGTCCAAATACATGTTTATCAAAAAATTATATTGATTCCTTCCTTTAGGTTAAAAATACCATTTCATATCTGCTTTAATAACATGGCGACGGTTGTGCCAGGCATAAGTCTTGCAATAGATGCACGGTTATGGGTGTATAATATATACCTCCTAGATGGAGGACTTCCCACTATCCGTGAATAGATAGCATGTGCAATATGAGTGCTTCTGGTTTACTCGAGTCTCTAGCTTACAGCTAGACGTAACTTTATTGATTTCGTATGTACTCTAGAAAAGGTGCTACACGCACCTAAACGCACCTAGAACTCATTTTTAATAAATTTTATAAATATTTTTATACCTCCTAGATGGAGGACTTCCCACTATCCGTGAATAGATAGCATGTGCAATATGAGTGCTTCTGGTTTACTCGAGTCTCTAGCTTACAGCTAGACGTAACTTTATTGATTTCGTATGTACTCTAGAAAAGGTGCTACACGCACCTATACGCACCTAGAACTCATTTTTAATAAATTTTATAAATATTTTTAAGAATATTAATCATATTTAGGATGAAGCGTTGCTTGTCTGGATTTAGATATTTCAAAATTTCATTTCGGAGTTTGACACATGGTGAAATTTTCTCGCTGTAGCTAAAAATGGCTTCCGGTTCTGGACGTGAATAAAATTTGAAATTATTCTCGCTTAAAGAAATCAAATATAACAATAGATTCAGATAGGGATGTGAGCTGATGTTCTTCAAATCTATACATAAAGGTATATTTCATATTATTATGCCATATTTACTGTGCGTGTGACACAATGATTTACAATATTTATAATACTAAGGCAGCTCAATCTTCCTCCTCAAAGCCGGAATATAGAGAAGGCTTTGGACCGAAGTAACTTCTGGTGAGTGGTGAACTTTGAACTATTGAACTATCTATTGTTCCTGGGATTGTCCCCGTGATTCAATATTCAGGATTCTGTAATTGGGGACGATTAAAGGGTGTTAATACAGCCTTTGAAAGAGGTAAATTGTGCATTCTTAATGTCAGTGCCTAAGATTGTGTGTCACCCTGTAGACTAACTGACAACATGGAGAGCATCGGAGTCTTAGGCAATAGGCCCTCCACTTCATCTAAGACTAACATAAAACTCAGACTTCATACACTTCAGACGCTGACCTGGGCATATCATAGAGGTCTATTTTATTAAATGTTATTAAACCGCTTACCTGACGTGATCGCAAACGCAGCAAATTTAGAAATCAAGCGACCGAGAAATTTGATGCAATTTCAGGTGCATGCTCAGGTGGTTCGGAGTAAAGAAAAGATTAACCTACAGTCTGTTCAGTCGGCCAATAAAACTGAAGTATTTCAGCCAACGCATGCGCACTGATCATAATCTTTGTTACTTTGACCAATCACAATCATCGATCATTTCCGGTAAAGCCATTGCATATGAGGTCAAGTTGACTCGTCGCAAGTAACGACTGGATTGTTTATAAATGGCTGACATGTCGAAAATCTAGAACAATATTATAATTTGAACTAATTACAGCATTATGCCTCCAAAGAGCACGAAATCAACCTCTTCTTCTTCGTCTTCTTCTCCTCCAAAGAGCACGAAATCAACCTCTTCTTCTTCTTCTTCTTCTTCTTCTTCTTCTTCTTCTTCTAGTAAGGCAAAGCCTGCACCCCTTCGTGCTTTTGGTAAGGCAAAGCCTGCAGCATCAAAACCAACGACCAAATCCTCAAAGGCAGCAACCAAGACAGCAGATGCAAAAACTACAGCCAAACCTGCAAAAGCTGATGAGAGTACAAAGAAAGATGCCACTGTTGAAATCAATCAGGAAATGAAAGGTATGTTATTTTGATGTTCCCATTGCAGATTTTGCATTTGTCAAATATTAGATCCCGAGGGGGAGGTCATGACACAGATCTGTGCTGCCTGACCCCTCCCAGCATAATCATGGGTCACGGTGTAGCCAGGCACCAAAGTTTTACAGAAATGAATCTGAATATTTTTTCCCTTCTCTATCAAACTATTGGATCCTATTCCTACCAATCATGGGCTTTCAATAGATTTTCTATTGAATGCCCATGATCCTCTATACATGTATCTTCACCTGACTTTTGTGAAAAAGTTGAAATCAACTGGTGATAAGAGTTTTCCAGAATTGTGGACATCTTGAGCAAACATTATGCAAGCACGATATAGTAGAGCTCGATAATGTACACTGCGTCTGTGTAACAATTGTGAGGAGATGCTTTACTGTTGTCTCAAAATTGAATTGTATAATTATATTTCAGAGCTGAAAATTGAAGAGCGTGAAATAACAGTGAAACAGATCACCTCAGTTTTATTTGAAGATGACATCTCAAAAGAAACAAAAAAATGGCCACTTGTGATTGATGCCCCATCATCACCATGCAGCACATTTCTGAGATACAGAGATGTAAATTATATCAATGCAATCAACCCTGATGACTTCAAAGAAGAGAAGATGAGATTATCCCTGTTAGGATCTATAAGGTAAATGTATAGTAATTGTCTCAAATTTTATTTTAGTTGGGTAATGATTTATCATGTACTACTTTGTACTACACCTTTGAGTTCATAATTTCAATTCAACATTGTATATATAAATCTAATTGCCATAAAACAACATTTTAGCTCTCAATCCACTCATGTCAATAAAACAACTCTGGTTTTATTTCATTTTATTGTTATCTGGCAAAAATGTCCCCTTTTACAATTCTGATGAATTTTTTCAGAAATTGTAAGGAAAAACGTTGACATGATTTCATACTCATAACTCACTCTATCCTTTTTAATTTCTTTAGGCTAATTATAATGTTTATTTATTTTACATGTTCCAGGTTTGGAAAGACATTTGTTATTGACATGATGGATAAAGACATTTGGAACCTGGTTGTAGAGAAACTTGACAAAATGCTACCAGGCTTAGCAAATTCACTCCTTGATAAATCTCTTGTTCCAGAAAATAAGTGAGTATCAGAAAATAGGCTCCCGTTCCCCAAATGATTTGTATAATGTATACAGGATTAAAACAAAAATATAGAATATTTTGTCAAGAACAAATGCTCCCTACTACATGTACCCTTGCTTGTCATCTTTCCATTTCAAAGAGTACAGCTTATTTTCATAATATCCTTGTATTTTCCTGATAATGTATTTGTAAGACATCACTTAATTGTGCCTGTCCAATTTTCATGAGCATATATTTAGAATGCCATTTTAATTGATTTTAAAAATGATACTAGCTATGATATTCAATATAGTGACACTATCTCTTAAACAATTGAAAAAATGATGCTTTAAGTCTTTACATTGTTTGTTAACAATTATGTTTCAGTGTTTTGCTTATGAGAGAATAGCAAAGCCTCCTTCGTTAAAACAAAAAACAGTAATGTTATTTAACACCCGAAACTTATTCCAGGTTCATACCCCTAATAAAGGAGAGTGATGGTTCAGAATATACAGAAGAAAGAATGGTTCATGATATAATGGTAAGGAACATGGTTGACAACTTCAGATTTGTTCTTATCACAAGACATACGGATGTTAATAAAGAACTGAAGCAGAAAATGACAGTGATAAAGATAATGGCTTAATAAGTTCATTGAAGGATGAGATACATGTACTAGCATATCTTCATTGATAAGTCAAGAATTCTTTACACAATCAGAAAGAAGAAAGGATGGTTCACAGAGGATAAACACATGAAACATTAGGTTTAAACATACTGTTTATGAATTATGAATACCACTCAGCATCATGAATTCAGAGTTCACATTCTCTTTGATCCATTTTCTGAGATGCAATGAAAGAAACCAGGCCTATGCATTGAATTTATAAAAGGCAATTTACAAAATTTTCAAAAAGGATCAGAAACTATCAGACTGACCATGACATATTTCTGGTATCAGGCAATAATAAAAGATTTCAAGTGAATTGTCCAGTTTGTTTTTTGAAAAATAATTGATATGTAAAAAATGTTTGTTGATAATAGTGTTATCCTCAAATTTTAGTCTATACTGATATTATATGACTAAAGTTATCAGTTGTTTTTATAGATGTTTTTTGATTGTGTTATGTGTTTTGTTCATGTTTTGAGGATTCTTTTGTGAGAATTGGTATTTCTAATAATAGCATAGTAAAGTAGAGGCTAATAAAGGGAATGAAATTATTTTAGAATATACAATGTATATACATGTAGTACTATATATATATAGGCTACGTATTATTGAAAATATATTTTAGTAATACTATTTTAGTAATAATTTTATGTATATGTATTATATCTGTATTCAACATCATATATCAATCAATATCATATTGTTCATATACTATACATACCTTCAGCATTATATGATTGGTCCAGGGTCACAGCTATTTCAAGAGTTAGAAATCTGGAACCACTCATTCCCAATCATAAATCAAACAGCATTGTAGTTTGTAGGGGATGTATACCAGTTATGCTACCATATAGCCTATGATACCAACCTGCTATGTACACTATTATTCTTTACAAATATATATCATAGCAAATGTGTTTGCTGTTAAAATACCTGTTTTATTTGTTTTTGATTTACATTGATCATAAAAAAGTCACTACTATGCTAATGCTGACAATAAGCTTGCTCATTTTCTCCAAGTTTGTATGATGAACATTTGCAATTGATGGCCTTTGATGTGATGGAATTTCAGAAAGAAGGGTGTAATATTAAATATAATACTCAAAGCAAAACAACACTACAATGGACCTTATTTTAAAACACTAACTCAGGTTTACATTTTGAACAATTTCGTCTTAGTTTTCTTAACCACAAAATGAAAAATAGCCTTCTGGAAAGATTCCTTATACTGAACACCTTATGTGGAATGATGTATGAAAAAAATGTAATCTCCAAGACTCCCGAAATGCCATAATTTGTTTGCAATTGCAGAATTGTATCCAATGTTCTTTGGCCTTCTTTGACCTGGAAATACAGACACACAACAGAGAATGTTGAATGTATAAATTAAGCCCCCATATAAAGTTTAAACCACTTGGCTTATATTGTCTTACCCAATGTTATCAAAGTGTGATATGTGAAACTGTTTTTTAGTTTCAAAAAGTGGTTTTTGAATGACTTTTTTGAAAATCACGAATTTATTTAAAACTTTTAGAGGTCACACATATCTTTTAAAGTCACAACTGAGATGTCTGAGAAAGCCTTATACATATAAACATATTGTGACCATTGACCACTAAGACCACGTTGTTCAGATTTAAAAAAAAGTCCAATAATTATCCTACATGCCCGTTTTACTTAATTTAGAAGAAAAAAGGCCCACTATACTTAATTTAGAAGAAAAAAGAAAAAATTATCATTGAAACATGTTACTCAAACACTTGCTCAAATATGACACAAAGTTTGATTTGCTTTAATATTGAACCAAGAAAAAAATAACTCGCATAGAAAAAAGCATTTGAAGTTCAAAGATCATTAGTAGTGCATGATCATGCTAAACAAAGTGCGTTTTAACTATAACTCTTGATTCAAAAGACGGTGACACTTCTATAAAAATGAATGTATCATGTAATACAAACAACTGCGCCATCTTTCAATGACATTGATAAAAACTTGTTATATTTAATTTATAAAGCTTGACAGATTGAAATATTTTTTGATAATTTATTGTAAGCTTTGATGTTGTCCGTTTGAGCTGTTGTTGGTGTCAAATGAAAGATAAGATTCTTATCAATACATTGGACATACTATGAAATTCAAAAGTAAGTCTTTAATTATTTTGCCCAAAAACATTGAAAATATGCAAAGTGGACCTTTAAGTTAGATTAATGAACCAATGTCATGGCCATGTAGTCCATATCTAGTGCTTAAAGTTACCATTATCATTCATTTACTATTTGTCATGACTTTAAAAGTTATTTAGAGATTTTTGAAAAAAAGTTGTCAACTTTTCATTTCTCAAATATTCAAATTTCCCGCCAATTTTCAAATAAAAGTTGAAATTTTTTTATTTATCAAATATTGGTCACAATATATTTAAATATTAGGCTTTCTCAGACATCTCAGTTGTGACTTTAAAGTCTAGAATGCCCAAAAGTGCATTCTGCAGATCTGATTTATCACAGTCCCGGGGATCAGGGTTTTTAAAGACTAAAGCTTGTAAGAGCTAGTCCAAGGCGACATTAGAGACTTTAGATCTTACAATGTCAAAAGTGAATTAGGTCCACTGTGTTCAGAACTTCTATGGACTCTGTCATGATTGCATGTATATGAGATCCGTCTTGTTCAGCTTTTTTGGTCACTCTGGTAGAAATAATAAAGACGTTCGCAAAATTAACGCACCAACTTATTGAATTGTATTTTGGGCTGTTCATGAGGCGCCCGATTGAAATCAAAATATTTCTGTTTTTGAAAACTTTGCCGATCTTCCTTCCTTCCATTTAGAATCCTGAATATGCTGTGCTTATAGCAACACAATGGTAAGCATTTGAGTATACTATGAAAGGCCATGTCTTGTTGTGAGTGAGGGTTTAGTCAATCAAGAGGTCATGAAAGTAATTTTCAACTTTTGCATGGGATTCCTTAAAACTCACCCCATACAGTGGGGGGCATAAAGAATTACAAAACCTATGGAAATTACATGTTGTCGCATATGTAATAAATTCTTACCTCAGTGTATTCAGTGCTCTATTTTCTACGTCATAGTAAATCCAGATATAGTGGAATTTGTGTCCATAATGACAAATAAGAACTTAAAAATTTGATGTGGAATTCACATGTTAATGCCGACTCTTCAAATGTTGAGGTGGTTTTGGAGCCAGATTACGCCGCAATGTGGGTTGGCTCCCAGAATGCAACATGACACGTGTCAGCTTTCAAAATGCCATTCCGCCGTTTTGAAATACGTCACGAATAAATAAGGTTACTTGATGTTGCATTCTGGGAGTCAATCCTCCTTGGATCACAAACATGGCGATTCATGAAAACATTAGTCCGATTTGGTAGGGATTTATCCATCATTTGCAGGTATGAGGCTTTGGATTCATTTATTGTGCTACTTAAAGTGGATGGGAATTATTTTTCTACAACTTGGGAGAGTTTGAGACATGAAACTTAGAATTTAGCTCATTGTGACAACTTTTGAGGGTTGAGATTTATTTTTGTCCCCCACTTTACATATCTAATGATCATTTCCAAAAATTTCAGACAATATAATGAATATCTTATTGATGAATCAGTGCAGATATGAATAAGTGTTAATCCCAAGAATTGGTTCAGTCATGGGCTTTCAACAGAAAGTACTCTAGACACTGCAGATAATTGCAAAATGAATATAATACACCAGATGATACACTATCATTTTTATGTCACCACCAAGAACTGGTAATATATTGTTATGGTCTCTGTTTCTGTCTCTGGTGGTTGGCGGGTGGTAGGCGGCGGTTGATGTCTGTAACAAATTCTTAAAACTTCCAATAACTTAACAAATACTGTTTAGAGTAGACTGACTTCAATCTTTTTTCAGACCATCTACAAGTTTTCAAAAAGTTCAAACCTGACTTAACATTTAAGATTTGACCTTCAATGACCTTTTTAAGGTAAAAAAGGTAAAAAAAAGGTCAAAAAGGTATCCAAATTTTTTCAAAATCATCTACAAGTAATCAGAAGTTCAAATCGGACTTTAGATTTAAGATTGACCTTCAATGAACTTCTCAAGGTCAAAGAAATGTCAAAAAGGCTTCAAATTAACCATTTTCTTTTCAAAATAATCTACAAGTTCTCAAAATATCTCAAAAATCTGACTATAGATTTAACCTTCAATGACATTCTCAAGGTCAAAAAGATCTTTTTTCATCTTGCTTAAATTGACCAATTTTTTTCAAAAGCATCTACAGAACTCTCAGACGTTCAAATCTGACTTAAGATTGAACTAATAATATTGTGAGCAACTAGATGGTGACATTTTGTCATGTTAATGCCTTGTTTATTTATGTTATATACATATTCTGCAAGATTTTGATTGACTGGTGTTGAAAATCAGCATCCATTCAAGTGCATGGATGTATGTACATGTATATCATTCATATATTTTATAGGTTTGAGGATGCTACACACTTATATAAATTGTATTGGAGTACAGATCTGAGAGGTGATTCCATCAACAATCCTGTACTCATCCTGGATTAAAATGTGAATTTACAAGTAGCAAGACAATACTTAATACTGACTATAGGGAAAATACATGTCCCTTGCTTCAACAATGAAGATGGATTTAAAAGCACTTCAACAACTCAAGTGGATTAGGAAGTATTTATTACATTTCAACAATAAAAGTAGATTTACAAGTATTTCTTAGTGTTCAACAATGAAGGTAGATTTACAAGTACTTTAACAATGAAGGTAGATTTACAAGTATTCCTTAGATTTCAACAATGAAGGTAGATTTACAAGTGCTTGCGGCCTCATCTATCAAGAGGAAGAAGCCATGGCCAAGATTTGCCTGGCTAGGGCAGGTGAGTTAAAATTCTATCTACTTGGTGATTTCTCTATCAATTGTTATACTTTTAAATATTTTCTTTAGAATTGACCTAGTGTTGCAGATCCCATATTTCTACAGTAGTTTACTACATACTTGTACTTATTTTGGCGGATTTGTCGTTTTGAACATTTGGAGGCCACTTAATTTGGCGGATTTGCCATATTAAAATGTACTAATGGTACTAATTTACATGATACTAAAATTACCAGGGAATATGGCAGACTTTAACAATTTTGGTGGATCTGCCAAATTAAAACGGCCACCAAATTAAGTAGAAGTAGAGTGTTCAGTTCGATACAGGCATTTTCTCATTTTCAAAGTTGTAAACATAGAATAAAGTCTCTATTAAAGTAACATCCATCTTGTTGCTTGTACCATTTTGGAAATGATGCTTCGAAAATATGAGTGTCTTCAAGTTCACTGTTTGTCATATCTTGAGGTCCATTTTATTTTGTTTAACTTTCAGAGTACAGAGAGTCTGTTTATGGTTGATACTCACCGTTTGAGTGTGCTTTATCTTCCATCTGGGAAAACCAAGCGTACCATTCCTAAAGTCAGCCCTTTATTGAAAACAGCAGCCACTCTAAGCACATCAAACAATGGTACATGGTATTTTTCTAATTTTTCTATTTTAGACGCATGGAATTGTACAGATGCATGGCATTTGCATCCCTTGATTTATCAAAGAAATGACCCTGCATTCTTGATTGCACTATTGTATTTTAACCGATTTATGCATTTAAAACAAAAGAAGTATCATGCTTATGGAAATAAGTGGCTGTCCAATTTTGAAATACACAAATTAAAGAACTACTGCACAATCCTTTATATATCCAAAAGGATATCAAGCTGAATAGTATATTGTATTAAATGTAAGTAATATTACTACTGAACAAAAAAAAGTTACCTGGAAAACATCAGGCGATAAATAATTCTGTTGGATTATTTTTCAGGAGCCTATGTTTGTGGCTTACTTCAATCTGGAGACCTGTTCCTCTGGCACAAGGACACAGATCACCTTAAATCCATCACAGGAACTCCTGCATTGTGTAAAGATATTGCAGGTAAAATACAATGCGAATCAGTATATTAATATATGGCTTGTATGTTCTTAAGATTAGATATATCACAGACTCATCATTAAGCTCCCATTTGTAGACAATGAAGTGATTCTAGATTTTGATAGTTTCTAAGTCAGTGTATTGCATCAGAACTGAAGTATCCTTTACCTTCTCCCCAATCCTCCCCTGTGTTCCCCTTATATCTCTAACATAGTCTTTGTTTTTGGAAATATATATTGGTGAGAGACGGAGGCTTGATGCAAGACTACTTCTAATATATTTGATAGGGCCTAGTATGTTTCTGGACTTTAATTAAAATAAACCAAATAAGATAATTGAGCAATGATGTCCTTTTGCTATCCAGGAGGAGCAAAGCCAGGGCTGTGGGTATCAGACGATGCAGATAGGGTCCTAGTTATGAATCCTCTGAGGGAGATCTTTATGTGGGAGAGCAGGATCAAAAGTGCAACAGGGACATGGACCAAAGTAGAAGTGGCACATGGTCACAGTATTCCAGCTTCAGAATGCAAAGAGACTGCAGTCAGTGTGGTTTTCTACAATAACCAGGTACTGTTTTTAATCAGATATATACTAGGTACATACAGGTATAAAGGTATATACAGTTATAACAACATTTTGAGTTATTGTTAAAATCATATCCTACTGATTTCAGGCTCTAGGGAAATGTTGCGAGTGTTCGATGGTGTTCTATAGAGATGGACAGCTACACATCACCACCGTGTTGTTACAGTGGTATTTAGAAGGACCCATCCACTCAGATAGGTACCACTTTACATTTATTCTTACCATACAACATATATTGTGAATATTGAGTTGTTTTGTTAAACAAAACCAGTGATCTAAAAGTATTGATTAGTGTCAAGAATTTGAGTGGGTTGCTCTATAAATCCTGTCACTTTAAGTATTGTATACTTTTGTGGAGATTGTACTGTTTCATCATTCATGGTCAATTAGTAATACATTTCAATACAAAATATACTGACTCAAAATAAATTGTTTTTAGAAGGTGGTTTCACACTACAATTTCTTCCATCAAATTTAATTTGTGAAACATGTTTATTTGCATGCAATGATTTTGCCACTATGTCTACCTTAAAATGTCACTTTCATTGTAGTTATGATTAAATGAGTATGAGATTATTTAGATGATAACAAATAACAATGATTATGGTATTCCCTCAGTACAGCAGGTATTTTTTCACATTTTGTTTATGATGTATACAGGCAGGGATTTAAATAGTCTATTTATTTGCAGGGCCCCAGGTTATAATGCAGAGTGGTCTGAAATGTGTGTCAACTTAGCTAGGTACAGGTGTATCCCTGTACGATCTAGAGGCGCTCTACTGGCCAAGTACACCCACTCAGGGGGCTCTCTAGGGGTTATTGTGAACCAACGTAACCCCCTACATACCATCAGCCTTACTGTAAGTCCCTTGACACATTCTGTGCTAGTGAACAGCATGAAGGGATGTGGTACCAGAGCAGATAATCAACAGCAGGGGAGGTAGGTCCTATGTTCTAATAATGCTAAAAAAATATGATGGGTGGTACGTAAATGATTGTAAACAAAATGAGCAAGATGTTAATATATAGGGTGTCTCAAAAAAATGTACCCAAAAGTATATCAACACCATAGACAAACCAATCAATATTTTCAGATATTTTTTGCATGGTCTTGTAGATAAAAGATGAAAGTTTTTTCCCCTATACACAGTTTTTAATTCAGTTTTGCCTTTTTAATACTTTAACCTGTTACCTTTTGCACCACATATTCAATGTAACCTCATATTTCGATGACAGTGCTGAGAAAAAAGTATGGGCCGTCAAATATGGTGAGTTGGGAGGCCCTCACAATGTCTTATAGCCCCCTTATACAAAGAGGTCAGAGGTTCAAGGAACTGCATTGGTTGGGATTCTATAGTAGCCTTTGTTGTGTGTATCAATTTGAGACCATTGTGTTTTCATTTGGATATCATTTGGTCTCCAGGCTAGCCTGCATAACTCTGGAAGGTAACTCCTGAATCATTTGCCGATAATTGACCAGATTATCTGTGTTTGTTCTGCCATAGTCATCCTCGAACATCTTTCTCTGTGGCTACTTGAGGGAGTGTTTTAATGCTCATTCCAAGCAAAAAGACCTAGAACAACTTAAGGGCAACATCCAAAGAGAAATCCAAAACATTCCACCAGAATTATTATCAAATATGATGAACAATGTAGCAGTAAAGATAAAGGTTGTCATCGAAATATGAGGTTACATCGATTATGTGGTGTAAAAGGTAAAGGGTTAAAGCATCAAGAAGACAAGACTGAAATAAAAATGGTGTATTGGGGAGAAAACTTTCAAGTTTTGGCAACATGACTATGCAAAAAATGTCTGAAAATATTGATTGGTTTATCTGTGCTCTTGATATACTTTTGGGTACATTTTTTGAGACACCCTGTACTTCACCTTTTAGTTTAAAAATTATAAATACTTGTATATCAAACTGTCGATCAGCATGTCTACAATTCAAAAAGTCTCAATTTGCATTTTTACATTCAGATGCATTTGCATCTCAATTATGGAGAGATATACAATCTCTTTTCCCACTATAAAACCTTATATGTTACTTCCAGGAAATTCTGGATCACTGATATAGCCTGGACTCACAATGATACATTTCTGGTGTGTATCACAAAGCATGGTTTTGTCTGCACTGCCTGTAGGGGAGGAGAACCAGTGTCAATTCAGAGCCAGGGGTGCTCAGTCGAGATGGGCCCTGCTCTTTACCTTCCCCTGCATCCCCTCATAACTGTACAGTAAGAATTCAAAGTTAATTATTTACAGTATAGTGGAATTGGTCTAATCCAATCGCCAACGGGATCAGCCAAAAGTGTTTGGATTAGCATTTCATTTCATTGTTTTTTAAACATCAAGGTCAATGGTAGAAACAATGTTGACATTGAGAAGTAACTCTGTGCTCAACTCAAAAATTATGTCATAGAAAATTAGCAGATGTAAATCAAATGAAATAGTTCAGGTTAAAGAGAAGAGGTCTACAAGGGTTATCACTAAACCAATTAAAGGAGATACATTGGTTGTTATATGTTTAAATGGAAGGTCATCCTTACAGTTTAGAGAAATCAACAGTCATCTATTTGATCATCTTGCCAATTTATATTACTTTTGTTTCATGTATTTTAGGACAAAGAAAACCACTTCAGTTCCCCAGGCTGAGGTAGACCAGTCAATAACATCAACCCAATCAGATGCCGACCAAATGCGTCAACGGTTTTCTATCTCAACACATCCTAGATTACCCATAATCCTGTGCTCCGATGGATACCTTGTAACTGTGCTCCAAATAGACGCTAATACATCATGCGCTATGGTTGTTAAGGGTTTCATATTTGAAGCTAACTTGCACATAAAGACGATAAAGGATACATTAGGATTAAACACTACACTTGCTGACTCCATGCATACAAGAGACGCCAGCTTCTTGAATATGTCAATAGGCTCACAAATTCGGCAAAAACAGAAAAATAAATTAAGCTCAGGGATGAATCTTGCTCAACAAAAGGGTAAAACCAAAAGTAATTTTGAGTTTGAGAAATTGAGCGATACTCTTGATAACACTGGTACAAGTGATTTAAGTGGGACTTATTATGGGGATAGAACTACCCCTGGTTTATTCTTTGGTGCTTCTCAGGCTGAATCTGGTAGAATTGACTTTGGAGACATTGAAGCTATAAGTGTTGATAGCTCTATTGAAGACTATGCCAATCTTGGCCAGATGTCCGTCCATATATCAAAAGCAAGGGATCTATTAAAAACAGCCTGGAACCTTGTGGTGACTAATACTGAACCCTGGGGTCCTGAACTTGAACTACACACAAAACATATAAAGAGTGGACTGAGCGAGGTGATTAGATTTATGCTCAATGTAAATGATGGTGCTAGTGACAATGAAGAACCCATCAAAATCAAGATCACCAAAGTACTCTCATTTGTGTGTGATCTCCTACAAATGCTACACTTTGATACAATTCGGCAGGGAATGATGACTCATGGGCTAACTTTAATACTCAGGAGCATGCACACTATACTAAGCTACCAGGAAACTTCTGTTAATTTCACACGGGTGGCCTTATTACACAGCACCTGGCAGTTTATGCAGTGGGTCAGTAAAAAGATGAACCAGATTTATGCTTGGCTCCCCAAGCCTATCCAAATGAACGCTATCCCCAGACATGTTCAGCTTGGATATACTGATTGGAGAGAACCTGCTATACTCCTTGCCCTGGCTAACACCTCTGGGGCACTCTCCAAGCAGATCCCAACAGCAGGTACCTCACAAGAGAGCACTTTATCAGTCTCCATGCAGCAGAATGAGAGTATGGCTGTAGCTTCTCTAATTGAAAGAAGGTTGGTGATTTACTACTTTTATCTCTATTGTATATTCAATACAATTCTTGAATATTGCATCTGAATTTGTATCTGACTGGAAAATGTGACCCCCTCCCTCACCTCTAGAAGATGAAGTAGATAAGAGGAGGGGGGTCCAGAGACTTTATGCATGATTGAATGTCCATGTCTCATCATGATTGAATGTCCATGTCTCATCATGATTGAATGTCCATGTCTCATCATGATTGAATGTCCATGTCTCATCATGATTGAATGTCCATGTCTCATCATGATTGAATGTCCATGTCTCATCATGATTGAATGTCCATGTCTCATCATGATTGAATGTCCATGTCTCATTATGATTGAATGTCCATGTCTCATCATGATTGAATTTCCATGTCGCAACATGATTGGATGTCCATGTCTCATCATGATTGAATGTCCATGTCTCATCATGATTGAATGTCCATGTCTCATCATGATTGAATGTCCATGTCTCATTATGATTGAATGTCCATGTCTCATCATGATTGAATGTCCATGTCTCATCATGATTGAATGTCCATGTCTCATCATAATTGAATGTCCATGTCTCACGCATTTGTTTTCAGACTGTCCATAGCCTGGAAGCTGTTGTATATAGAGTCTACAGAACATTGGTGTAACATAACTCGCTCTCGCTCTAATAAACAAGAGGTGGCAAAAATGTCTGCTCTTACACTGGCCTTACAACACAAGATACAGGCACTAGGGTGCCAAGTGCCATTTAAGTCATCTACACAAATAAATAAAGGTATTTAAAAACCTGTAATTTTTTTATTGAAGTATTTCAAGATATTTGCTGTATCAACAGTTCTAATATGTGTTCATATTATTGATATCTGAAGAATATTTATTTTTTATATTTCATTATTTTATCAGGTTGCCAGCTGTACTTAGATGGGATGTATGATGCAGCTGTGGATGAATGGATGCTACAGCTGTCTCAGTTAACAGGTGAGATACACATATACAGATACATGTCTTTTACATTACATTTATTATTTGATTAATTATGAATGGGAAACAGTTTAAGACCCTTAGGTGTGACATTAACATATTTCTCGGTCATACAATATTGTTATAAGTGCATTAAGAAACAGAATCTAACCCCACAAAACATATCTATCCTACAAATACTGAATATATTTTCAGATGACGAGAGTACTAGTGTCTTACCAGCTCGTCTCCTACTAGCTATTGCCTACACACACTTACACCAGCATTGCTTGTATGCTGTCCTAGACCTTCTTCTTAGTGCAATGTCACAACATGACCCTCGTAATATACCTGCCCAGCTAGAGAACCAGCACCTTACCACCATCAATGTACAGGTACAGGGTAGCAATTTATTATTTCACTTATGAGGTTGAGTAGGGATATAGGGCATATTTTATACTTTGATGATGAGAATTTCATCAAACTTTTTGCTTTTTACTCCGCTTTTTACTTGATGAGCAAATCTATTACTACATTACATCTTCTATGATTTCTTAAAAATATTGCATCTTTGGTGACAATAGAAGTAACATTTATTTTTCAAGCACTTCACCATTTTTTGGTTTTATGACCAGCGTTTGTCCATCAGAAATCAATATCACTGTTTTTTGCAAACAGCTTATTGAAAACAGGTGGTGACATTTTGTTTCTAATGCCTTGTTTGAATTTGTTTGCAGGTGTGGAAGATTGGTGACCCACTACCCCCTGTTGTAACATGCCCTAACTCAAGAATCCTTATACAGAATGTTGGGCGGTTTATGGCATCTTATTTCACAAGTTCAACTCTTTATGTCTACCCAGCACACCAGCCTAGAGTCTTGTCTCCACTTATGAGCACCTCACATGGTAAGTCTCCACATATTTTGAGTGACTTACATTATAAAATAGATTTAAGATGATACATCCCCATATGAATGCTTGTCTCAGTTACAGTATCATCTCGACCAAACTTAAACTTTTGTTTTGATTGCAGAGAGTTGGGTATTATTAGTTGATAAAGCTAGAGCTAGTATAACCCGAGCTTATAGTGAAGACAAGTCTAAACAAACACCAAACTTAAACTATTGTTTTGATTGCAGAAGGTCGACTATTATTAGTAGACAGGGCCAGTATAACCCAAGCTATTAGTGAAGAGGGTGTGTCAGCTCTATGGACTGTAGATGGCTGTCTCCACTACCTGCTACTGGGGGGTTTAGTCTCTGAGGCGGTTTGGTTTGCTCACTCTATAGGTGACTGGAAGTCGGCTCTCATACTTTCTGTCATGTGCAAGAAGGTATCCGCTATAAGAAATTGGACAGAGTGAGTATTATTTTGTTGAAAGACTTGTCATTCATCAGTTTTTGTGTGTCCATGGGCTTTCTGTGGAGCCCAACAAATATTTTCATTCAAATACTTTCATACACTTTCAATATGGGTTATTTTGTGAGTTGTTTTATGATGCTTGATCTTTATATCTCTATTTCATTTTACATGTTCATATTGTTCCTGAACTGTTTTAATGATGCTACTACATATGTGAGACAAGTGCTATTTATGAAACGTTAATAGTTAGCTGATTTAAGGTACTTTTCATAATTTTAGGTGCGTACCTTTGCCGCAAGAACTTCAAGCTGAAGAGTTGATGAAGAGTAAACTGCTAAGTCTAGTTCAGTCCTGCACACAGATCAACCGCCAGTCCAACTCTAGCCCACCTTCCATACCAACACCAGAGGGTAAACTACAGAGATCACAATCTCTAAGCACAATTCAAAGCTCTACAGGTAAACACTTTCACCAGGGATTCTTTCATATGTATGCATTTTATTTGAGACATTACACGGTCCCTTGTTCCTAGTTGGCGTGATCTTGTTTAACTGTGCATTGTAAAACAATACTTGAAAATATCTAAAAAAGCAATGAATTGTATCCATAGATTAAGCACATTGTAATTTCTGATTTTCTGATTTCTTGAAGTCTGTGAACTTGTAGCTATTACGTTTAAGAAAAGATTAATACATAACTACAGCATACATGTATCTGTATATGGGCCACTACTTTTCCACTAGCATCTCCACGTTACAATGCAGACTCCACTCTTGAGCAGATCTCCAGAACATTGGGGGATACCCTGCAATGTGGTGTTATATGCGGGGTGTCCCTCACCCCCTGGTTGCTGGGCAAGCTAATAGATAAACTGAAGGCTGTGGTGTCTAACATGAGTACGCTTGTACCTGAAGGATTCTACCTTCCTGCACCACCCCTCTATTGTCCACAACCTACAGTCACTGAACTGGTAAATATAATATTATCCATAACTTTCAGTCATTGAACTTGTAAATATAAAATTATCCATAATCTACAGTCATTGAACTGGTAAATATAAAATTATCCATAACCTACAGTCATTGAACTGGTAAATATAAAATTATCCACAACCTACAGTCACTGAACTGGTAAATATAAAATTATCCATTACCTACAGCCATTGAACTAGTAAATATAATTATGTCCACAGCCTACAGTCACTACCCTTTGCATTCCTTTGACTTCTTAAAATATGTCAATATATATGACATGTGTAAATAGATTTCTTAAACTAAGTAGAGTTTTTTTGTGTACCATATATTAAGATGTAGTATGGATACAGGGTGTACCACATATTAAAATGTAGTATGGATACAGGGTGTACCACATATTGAGGTGAAGTATGGACACAGGGTGTACCACATATTGAGGTGTAGTATGGACACAGGGTGTACCACATATTGAAATGTAGTATGGATACAGGGTGTACCACATATTGAGGTGTAGTATGGACACAGGGTGTACCACATATTGAGTTGTAGTATGGATACAGGGTGAACCATGTTATGAGATGGTTACATCATGTTCCAACATTGCGCCTGTACCATGTTTTGAGATGTATTTTGTTTTCAGGGAGTACCATGTATTGGGGTTGAGGACGAGCAGAGATATAGGGAGGAGATATCTAGCATTGTACAGCTTATCCTGATGGTCCTACAAGTCTCCAACCTTGACCTTCCAACTGCCAGGTGCTACACACACAAACTTAACATTCTGCGTAAAATGATGGTAAGCTTGAGGGTCAGTGTTAACAAATCCACAATCTCAACATATTGAATTAATGATATTTCAATTTGCAGAATTTTTCATTGAATAAATAAAATGTAATATAAAACTGCTATTTCTTGGGTGAAATATTTCATTCTGAATTTGCTACTCAGTAGATTTACCATATTTACTTTATTCAGTATAATGCATTCAGGCCCGTAGCCAGGATTTGCCAAGGGGGTTCAGTTTTCAAAAATTTCCAGGGGGGTTCACATTTGACAATTTTGGCCCAAATATGGCTAAAATTACTTGAGAAGTGCTCAAAATGGTGAAAAACTGCATGATTTTGAAAAAAAATTTGGGCCTGGCATTATATGAGATTCATTGTTGAAGTTATTTTGTTAATCATATTTGGAACAGATGACAGCAGGAAATATTTGAATTCTGTTGATTTTGGGAGGTTGTGTAAGATACATTATATCATAGGGCAACCCAACTAAAGAAGAAGCTAGGAGTCTGAGAAACTTGCAAGAAAACTTCCTCCAGCCCCAAGACATACTGACACCCCATGAGGACCAGACAGATATATGTGAGAGTCTCCATGCATTCAGAGAACTTTGTTGTAATCTATGGCATCTGAAAGTCCGAGATTCGCTGACTCAACACTTGAGAATTAAAAAACGCATGGCGGAAAATGCTGGATATCCTGCCCAGGTTAGCACAATTACCTTATCATAACTTTCAATCTAGTTTCTCTACTGTTCTTGTAATGATTTTGATTTAAGTGAACATTGAATCGTAAATCAACCTATTCTTTATTAATGATTGCTAAAAGTAATCTAGGCACCAAAGGAAGATATTTCATAGATTGGGCATCTGAAACAGCAGTTGACATGTAGCAGTGTCTTTTAACATCCTCCGACCACAGGGCATCAAAATCCAGAATATATTCTTTCTTTTACCCCCTGCGATAAGCAGTTAGCATTTCCCTGATTAAGAACTCGCAATCTGATTGGCTGCACAACACTGCGACAGAAATCATGTATATGTCATTGCGCATAATTAGATCACGTGATTCAGTTTAATCGGGCGCTTCCAAATTGGTTATAGCAGGGGGAAGAAGGAGGTACGGATTCTGGATACCTGCTTAGGAGGATGTGTCTGTAACAAATTGTTCTACTTTTGTAACCATTTGCAATAACTTTCCAGGTGGTGACATTTTGTCATATTTATGCCTTGTTTATATTGTTTATATATACAATGGTTGCAGGTTAGCAGAATGTCTTCCACTGCATGGTTGGAACATGCGCATAGGAGCCTTAACTGGGCCACAGCTATGCTTCCCTTCACTCGCTTCATGAGCAATGAAAATGAGGCTTATGACATTGTTCTCTCCCTATTGGAAGAACTTCCAGCCAATCAAGATACTGCAAATCTCCTCGCTGAACATTTCTATGACATTGACAGTCTAGATCCCATAATCCAAGACAAAGTGAATAGGTTATTGAAAGAATGGCGGAGAGTTAAAATTCAGAAAGTCTCAGGAAAAGGAAAATCAAAGTCTAAAAATACCAAAAACCTCATACTGTCAGTATATTTCCATCACCAAACTAAACGAATGGTGAAAGAAAAGGAAGATAGAATAGCTCTGCTTGGAGAGTATGAGGAGTTTATATACACAGGGGAACCTAGTGTCCATCCTCCATGCATTGGCTCAAGATCTTATGAAGCTGATTTTGAGTTCTGGAAATTCCTTGATACATTTCTGGATATTGCTCTTGCGAGGTCCATACAGAATGAGGCAGATCCTGACCATAAACAATCACAGCCATATCTCAAACCTTTCTTCAAAGGTATCACAAACTCTCAGCTAGAGTCGGTAGCTAAGAAAACATCTATTAAAATGCACCTGAAGAATAAACTTGGATCTACCATGGAATATCTGCAAGATGAACTCAAATTCACAAGTTCCTCCCCAGGAGAAAAAAGTCCTAAGGAAAGTGCAATGAAACCTCCATCCTCACCCCAGAAGTTCTTGCCAAAAAGTACTAATCATAAACCAAGAGGATTATTCAGGAGTAAAAGCTTGAGTGAACTACAACCAATCAGGAGAGGAGATCATAGGGTTGCTAAGGTAACCCCAATACTGAGGCATAGATCATCCAGTCAATCTAATCTAAAAAGTTCACCATTGAGGAATAAACCCTTGAGAAAGGCAGATCAAGGGGGATCAAGTAGTGACCTGAGGAAATTTGTAACATTCAATCAAACAAAACTTCAGAAGCTTGCCTCAGCAAGTATGAAAAGTCTTGGAAGTACATCATCCCAAACCATCAAGTCTTGGGCTGAAGCAACTAAGAAATCAAAACCAGCAATACTAGAGCCATTACAGAAACCAATGGACTTGGTCAAAGTTGATAATATTGAGAAAAAATTTGAAAAACTTGGAAAGTTTCTTAACTGGCTAGTTCACTGGTCTGGGAAACACCATGTGTTTCAGTTGGGTCCTGACACTAATGAAAATGAACACAAACATACTAAGAAGTCCAGCATTAGAGTGAATGTAACAACATCTCTATTGTTACACAGTGTCTGGATTGTGAACCAAATAACAACACTAAGTGACAATGAAAAAGTCCAAAATCTTGCATCTGAACCTGCTATGGAAACTCTTAATGATTCTGTTAGGCTTCCCCCAGAGGTTGATAATTCTGTTGAGGCTAATGAAAGTTCTAAAGATGTTACAAACAAAAGCGAAAATGAACCTCAAACTTACAAACCAGCCACGCCATTGCATCAGAAAATATTGAAAAGAATGAGGCAGAAATCTACAAAAACCAAACCAAAAGAAAAAGAAAATATGAATAATCGTGATACAAAGCCAAAACAGAAAAAGGTGAAAGGTAAACAAATAGATCATAAGGACCTGAATTCATTTAAAGCAGACAAAAGTAGAACCCCTGATGAGAATATTGGAACACCTGCATCAGCCAAACCTTTAACAGAGTCAGTGAAGATCCCCAATCAGCAAATCAAAGAGGTGCAAAATGTGAGGTAAAGGATGAAATGTAACTCATAGTGTTTAGTGTTATTCCTTTTAATATTCTTTCTGTTTATGTATTTCCATTGGCTTATATTACTTTATCTTCAGATGCACTGAAAACTAACTGGAGGTGGTTTATATTGTGTATGCTTAGATAAACATCTGCAAAGGTGTAGCCAAGATAAAAAAAAATAGCTGATACAAACCTTCCAAGTACGATGTCATACTTTATGACATAATTTTTACAGTTTTAGTAAAAAAAATATTTGATTTGATTTGAAAACTATATTTATTCTGGGTAGCTCTATCAGTACAATACTGGTCTTCATAGAGGCCCAGTAAAAATTTACAAATAGATATATAAGACATATAGAACAATTGAAAAGTTATTTTCCACTAAAATTTTGGTGAGGCGTGATTGCCTCAAAGCTAGCTACACCATTGAAGATGTATCAATAACAAGTTTCATTTTCTTAAATTATGTCACTACCCGAAGTGGTGACATATTGTCTCCAACTTTTTTGTAGTTGTTGTTTGGTGGTGGGTGTCTGTAACACATATGAGGTGGTGACATTGTGCTTGTTAATTGCCTTGTATTATTAATGTTGTAATCTGGGAGTTAACAGCTCCATATATCTCTGAACTATAGTTTTGCTGTTTCTTCCAGCTTTAATGTTAGTGACTCTTCTAACTCAACGCTTGGTGTAAGCTCTATAGAATTGTCTACTGGTTCTCTTAGGTCTTTTCTGCACAAACTTTCTAAACCTGGCCTAAGGTAAAGCTTGCATTTTCTATTGCTTTTAATGTTTATTTCATTAATAGGACCAAGGGGCTCAACAAGATTGCATATAATTTGTATCTTATATGTTAATTATCTTATTATCCAAAATGAATTAAATTCTGTAGGATGAGAAACACAGTGTAGCTTCTTATCCAATTACATTGTTAATGTTCAACTTTTTGCATGTCTTTTAAACCAAGCGAAAGGAGACACATGGTAGGAAAATATGCAAAAACAATGTTAAAACTAAAGTTAATAGAGAATATTGAGCATATAATTTATTTCAATCTAGCTCATCAGCTCATTTTTTTAAGTAAAACTCCTGTGGCTGTTCTTGGGGAAGAAATTTGATGGAATGGAAAGGAGCCTGCTGAAAGATATCTGGGCAATAGCTGAAAAACAGCTTTAAATTTTTGTTAATTATCCAATTCTCCACAAAGTCTGTGAGTGTTTCACATTCAACAAGAAGAGTCTTTAGAAAATAGCCCATATATTAATGATTTAAGAAAATTATAATTCATATCAATTTGGTATTATTCACTAGCTGAGTGATTATCCATTTTTCTTAGGCAAGCAGGGCAGGAACCGTTAGACTCTACAGCACTCCCAGATTTTGAACCTACAGATGCTGGTCATCCCAAGTCAGGTTCAGGTATTGTAGAAGATACAATGGCCCATTCTCCATTGCTTCTGCCTACTGCTGATAAACCTAGCCAGAGTCTAGAGGCAGTGAACACAAATGACTCAGGGAGTAACATGGGAGAACAGACAGGTGACTTTGGGGTACACTCTGACAACTTTGAGGTGCAGTCTGGCAATCTCGGGGTGCAGCCTAGCAATCTTGGAGTGCAGCCTGGTGATCTAGGGGTACAGTTGCAAAACATTGTCAGGGGAGAAATGAGAAAAATTATGGAGGTACTAGTATTTTAATAAATGCTATTTTACTGTTAAAGTAGTTTTTTGGTAATGATTTTTATTTTCAAGCATAATTATGTCCTGTTCATTTTAATATAAAAACCTACACTTTATCATAAAATTATTTTTAAGCCTCAGGCCACTGCCTGTGATTCAAGAATTACAGAAAAAGTACAAAGAAATAATGATATCTTTGTAAATTTCAGCTTCAACACCAGGGTCTCCTAGCTATGATAGGTGCTATGGATGGCGCACCCCTTCAACAGCCAACATCTGATACACAAATACCTCAAGCCTCTAAAGTATCAAAAGTATCAAACAACCAACAACCGAACATATCCAAGAAGAATTCTAGTCATAAACACCAGAGAAGCAAACCTAGGAAAAAGAAAGTCGAGCCATCCGTTGAAGAGTCAACGGTGGAGGCTACAGGGACATATAGTGACACTAGTATTGATATTAGCAGTAAAACATTAGACCTAGATGATCTCAGAGCTCCAACTCTCAAGTCTAAAGTATCAACACTACGTGATACTGATACCCCTTTTAATAAGGACAAGCCAAAATATTCTAGTGTTGTAAGTGCTTTGAGGGAGTTGGACAACCTTAAAGATATTAACTCGAGACCTCATTCAACTCCTAAAAAGTCAAGCATAGACCCTATTGATAAGGAAAACATCCAGGCATACCCAATCATGGGCCAACCCGAACCAGGTAGTCAAAATCAACAAGGTTTCATGAAGTTCTCTGCACAAAATCCACCGAAGTTGCTCAAAATGCCTACCCAAAAGAACACAGATTCTCAAGTTATGTTAAAACTTCCGAAGTTGCCCACGAGAGCAGAGCTACTTGGTTTAACTGATGAAAATAAACAGAAAGAGGCCACCCACATGCCTTTACTACAAATAGACAATGCATATCCCCAAATACCAGAGGCTCCAAAGCATTACAATTTGGGCAGTTTTCACATCCCCACTAGCAAGGCAAATCATGCTAGGACATATGAAGGTGGGATCACAGATAGGCCTGATATCTTTATGTTCCACCCAAAATCCTCTGGTCAGGGACCCAATAGTGGATCTAGGCAGCAAATACCCAAATATAGACCACCAAGTACATATGAACCTAGCCAATATGGACCTCGTCAACCTGACCCCAAATATGGGCACAACCAACCTACTAAACCCTTTCCCTTGTTACGTCTTCCAAAAGCAATTGACTTTTTAACTCAAGGAAATGCAGGTGCTCCTTCCATGATACACCCACATTCAGACATTTCACACGAGCAGCAGGAGAAACCCACTGATAGATACCCATCAGGAGACACAACAATTACCAATGAGATGGTAACTAAGGAAGAGCCAGAGGACCTTCCCAGTAAAGAATCAGAATCTATGCCAGATCTTAATGCAACTCGAAACAGCAGAAAGAGGAAGGAAAGAAGGGATAGGCTGGGTGAGTCTCAGTCAGAGCCAAACTTGGCTTCTAAGAGAGATACGCCTGACAAATTGAAAATGGAGGTAAGTCAGCAGTCAGGCACTGTAGGTATAGATATTCTGCTCAGATTTTTAAATGGCTAGTAATTTCAATTGTCTGCCTGATGATAAAGGTATTACACCCCAGTATTTTTTTTCTCAGGTGGGTGCAAAATTCTCATTTTCATAATTTAGACCAAAATTGATCAAAATATGCCAATTTTTCAGATTTTTCTCATTTTCAAGTGGGTGCAAATAGATTTTTAGGTGGGTGCAAGCCTATTTTCAAAATCTCAGGTGGGTGCTGCACCCACTTGCTTTAATGCTGGGGAGATCACTGAATTATATAATTTATTATAGAACATTAGGAAAATAAAATTATTTATTATATCATCGAAATGTTTCTTGCTCTCTCATTGGATAAGAACCGATCACATGATTGATAAAAATATGAAGGTGTAGTTTCCTTGTTTCCTGCAGCCTCGTTTTCAACTGTATGTACTGTATGTATGTTCAGAATATTAGCAGACGATAAAAGGTTTTTTGTTATGATGTCACAACAATATTGTAGAAAATACTTGGATACTCATGGCAACAGAGCTCCATTGTTATGATGTCACAGCTTATATTTTTAGAATGAGCATCGGTATTCAAAGCAATGGTTGGTCCGTTGCCATGTTGTTGATGTTTATAAACCAGTGATGTCACAAGTCATCTTGCATGCACATGTGACTTTTGAGGATGGAAGATGGCATCTTGCATGGGATTGAGAAAGGCTGTATCTTGGTTATTCATATGAGACATATGTATTGGATCTATTTATTAGATTGTTTATTAAAAAGATACACCTAATATGAAGAACATTAAAATTATATAATAAATCAAAATTTCCATTCTATTTTTGGGAAATATACACAGCATATATACAGGGTGTCCAATAAATAAGGTAAAAGATATTATAACTTTCTTAATATTGCACCAATCTTGATGAAATCTTCAGAGTTTGTAGCTCAAACCTTTTTACCTTTATTCTGTAAATTTAAAGCGTCTTCCATTTGATTGGCCAGAGTTGTGGTTGCTACAGCAACCGAAACAACAAAAAGGCGGGGCAAGTTTGTTTACGTCACAATTTTCCAAAACATATTTATTCTTTCTGATAGCTTTATTCATACTCCCAGGTCTATTACTACCACAAATACGATATAAAAAACAGTCCTAAAGTCCCATTGTAATGAAAATAAGCTATTCAGCATAATGTCCATCTCTAGCTACACACTTCTTATGCCTATTCACCCACTCTCTAAACACACTTTCAAACCCATTCTTGCCCATTTCCTGAAGTCTTGCTAAGACATGTGACCTGAGTTCATCAGTGCTCCCAAATTTATTTCCTCTCAAGTCACGCTTGAGTTCTGCATATAAGTAAAAGTCACTGGGTGCAAAGTCTGGGGAATATGGAGGGTGTGCAAGTAGGGGTAGCCCCAGTGACCTAATAGTTTCACTAGTGAGCATAGCTGTGTGTGAGGGGGCATTGTCCCAGTGCAGCAGAAACTTCTCTCCTGGACGTTTTTTTAACGGAATGCGTTTGAAAGTGTGTTTAGAGAGTGGGTGAATAGGCATAAGAAGTGTATAGCTAGAGATGGACTTTATGTTGAATAGCTTATTTTCATAACAATGGGACTTAAGGACTGTTTTTATATTGTATTTGTGGTAGTAATAGACCTGGTAGTATGAATAAAGCTATCGGAAAGAATAAATACGGCTCGTATGTTTTGGAAAGTTGTGACGTAAACAAACTTGCCCCGCCTTTTTGTTATTTCGGTTGCTGTAGCAACCACAACTCTGGCCAATCAAATGGGAGACGCTTTAAATTTACAGAATAAAGGTAAAAAGGTTTGAGCTACAAACTCTGAAAATTTCATCAAGATTGGTGCAATATTAAGAAAGTTACAATATCTTTTACCTTATTTATTGGACACCCTGTATATGCAGGAAATATACTAAGGGAAGGATGAACATGTATTAACCTCAATAGAATGGAATATTTGGTATATATAAATTATATGCAATTCTTTAGCATACTCACCCAATATATTTTCTTTTATTTATTTTAGTCGAGAGGAACAACAACTTTTTTGGAATCAAATAAACCAACATTCCAGGACTCCACACAACAAACAGACCCCAAAGTTATAATAGAAGATGACCCTAATATGGCTCACCTTGAGGTAGATGATGTAAAGACTAGTGATGGCTATGCTATCACACCTGGTACATTTGATGAGTACTTTGAACACCAAGATGAACTGGGAGAGGTTTATGACAATAATGCTAAGATACAACTAGCAGCAGCCACTGGAATAAGACCTAAAACTAGAAAGGTCAGTTAATATTATATAGAACTGAAAATATAAAGTCCTTGTAGCCTCTCTGTCCTGCAAACCTCCTGTCAAATCTGGAGGTGGAAGTAGGTAGGAAAGAGGAGCTCAGAGACTTGATTTAAAACGATGGAAAATGGTGACAAGACAAAAAGTTACTTGAATCTATACCTAAATGCAAACTTCTCATATTAAGAATTTCATATAATTTGTATTCCATTTAATTAATTTTCCACAGTTTATCATGTTCTTTAATCAGTTACTTTCAAAACAGTTTTACAATTTGAAGTTTGATTGCAATTTCTACTTCCAGACTGTATCATTTGCGGTAGGCGTACAGACAAGCGAACCCCCAACAGATCAAGAGTACAAGTTCAGCACTAAAGGTATGCTTTATATGGAATGATTCTGGCTTGCCAGGCCCCTCATATCTCCCACTTTCATTTGGATATGGTTAAACAGACCCCCTCCTATCTAGCACTCATGTGTTAACTTTGAGTTAAGACAAGGTGGGTGTGGGGATTATTGCAATGTTATAGAATGATTTTTTGTATGTTGCTCATCTTGCTCCCTGTAATTTGTTAAAATATAGTCATTTAAGAAGTAATTTAACATATATGTTAAATGTGACTCAGTTTGTGTTTAATACCATGATGGATTACAATTATAGCATGCAGCATTGAGCAAATGGAGGTGAAAAGGATTAATTGAAAACTTTTGAAAAATAATTTGAATTTGTTACATGTAAAATTGAACAAGTCTGAGTTTAAGCATTTAACATATATTAATTTAATTTTTTACAGTATAAAGAAACTACTTGTACATTATTACATCATGTCCAATATAAGTCCAATATTGCATTAAATGTGTTGCAGCGACCCCTATTGAAGAGTGTGTGAATGATTATATGAAAGCTAGGGCAGCACAAGGCAACCTTCTAGCTCCAAATATATTCTTTGGCCTGAGATTTGGTGACCATGACAACGCACCTCAGAGTGATGTCATACCAGGAACAAATGTAAATATGATGTTTATATTTATCACTCTCATATTAAATAAGATTTTAAAAATAGAGTAAGCCCTTTTTAAAATTACAATCAATATGATCTCTGAATAATGATATTATAATACACAGGGGTAATATTGTCGAATACACCCCGCAGGGCTAGGCAAAAACATTTTTGACAGCTTTTGTGCCTGGCCCTAGGGGGTGTATTTGACGATATTACACCTGATCTAAGGTCTATATTACGCTTTAAACATGAAAACTCACCAAAATGTTTCGAATATTCATTATGGTCCGCCATTACTACGACCCACCGTTATGACGTCACACATTACAAGTATTACCAGGGGTATTCTTCGCGAATATATCCCGGGTGAAATGTTGACTTAGTTTACAGTTTATAGAAGGCGCGAATACAGTCATGTTCGAATACTTTATCAAATGTAGTCCAAATGTTATTGTGACATAATTTAAGACTAAATCTGGCTAACAACCAAACTAGCAGATGCTTGCAATATTGTGAATCACAAAATAGTAAATAATATTTTGATAAAATACAAAAATGTAATTGATTTATTATTAATGTGTGTCTAGTATATTAGTGATTTGACAATTAACAAGATAATAAAATATGGCATTTTAATCCCCTTTCAGTCATAATCAATAATTTGATTGATTGGAACAAAATCTGCTCGATAACCATTTATTATTAATTTAAGAATCATGCTCTGATTAATTTAGGGCAAGTCTGAAGGAAGATCATACATAAGTGTGGTGGATATTGACTCAACTGCAGTTGATGATCTTGTATCTAGTATACCCCCATCTAAATCTGAGCCCAACGGCACAGGTCTACCACACAGAACTGTATCACCAAATCAACTTCAACAGCCCATACGTCAACAGAGTAGACTACCACCTAAGCCAGAAGGACTTGAGGAAGGACAAGGTGAGTTGCAGGCTCCTTTAGATTCCTTGCAGACCGAATCACTTTTGAGAGTAAATTAAACCTAAAAATAATCAAGGACCATGGTGCAGTATTTTATGAAAAAAAATACATTCATATTTTAGATATGATAGATACATAAATCTCAGATTTCTCATAGATTTCAGGTCTCTTGTAATACAGGGAGTTTCAACATTATTTTATTTAAATAATTTGTCAGGAAAGCATCAAAATATAAGAGGCCACACTTTTTTGTTAGCAAAACTATAGGGAATATGAAATGTACAAATGTTTGGAAGTTCACTGATGCATATGAATTTTTTGATGAGTGTTTGCTAATGGAGTCAGAAGCTGATGGAGCATGTTGTAGTATAATAAAGCTAATACCTAGGATTTAGATAATGTCTTGATACAATTTTGCATTTATTTTATTTCTATGGTTTAAAGTCTGCATTGTCCTTTTAATTAGAATCTTGTCATGAATTGTGTTTATAGATGGCAATCCACAGAAAGAACCAGAGAAAAAACGAGGATCCGATCCATTGACAGTGAACTTATTTACAGATAACCAAGCTGGGGAGGATCAGTAAGTCGCTTCTTCTGTACCACTGAATTCTCATTTGTTTAAAAAGATCTACATGAAAACCTCTCCAATGAAACACCATCCGTAGAGTCGTTGTCTCAAGGAGGATTGGCTCCTAGGGACGCAACTCGATAATGGGTATCACGTAGTCATGCTATGAATACAAAATTCAAAAAAGAGGCCATTCTCCATTAAAGACAAGAACACAAATGTGTACAAAATGTCCCCACCTATGGGTGATCCCATCAAATGGTTATCCTAAAAATGAGTAGACAAGACTTTAACGACACAATTTGAGGACGGAAAATCCAATATGGCCACCTTAAAATTTACCCAGAATGCCCAAAAATTAGTCAGTTCTAGATTTTCATACTAAGAAGCACCCCTGAAAATTTGAAATTGATCCGTCACACAGTTAACCAGAAAACATGTAAACAAGACTTTACAGACAAGATTTGAGGACCGAAAATCCAAAATGGCTGCCTTGACATTTATCCAGAATGCCAAAAAACTAATTTGTTCTAGATTTTCATACTAAGAATCATCCCTGAAAATTTGAAATTGATCTACCAATCGGTTCACCTGGAAATGCGTAGACAAAACTTTACAAACAAGATTTTAGGACAGAAAATCCAAAATGGCTGCCTTGACATTTACCCAGAATGCCAAAAAACTAATCAGATCTAGATTTTCATACTAAGAATCATCCCTGAAAATTTGAAATTGATCTACCTAACGGTTCACCTAAAAACGCGTAGACAAGACTTTACGGGCAAGATTTTAAGACGGAAAATCCAAACTGACTGCCTTGACATTTATCCTGAATGCATAAAAACTAATGAGATCTAGATTTTCATACTAAGAATCATCCCTGAAAATTTGAAATTGATCTACCAAACAGTTCACCTGGAAATGTGTAGACAATACTTTACAGACGAGATTTTAGGACAGAAAATCCAAAATGGCTGCCTTGACATTTACCCAAAATGCCCAAAAACTAATCAGATCTAGATTTTCATACTAAGAATCATCCCTGAAAACTTGAAATTGATCTACCAAACGGTTCACCTAAAAACGCGTAGACAAGACTTTACGGGCAAGATTTTAAGACGGAAAATCCAAAATGGCTGCCTTGACATTTGTCCAGAATGCATAAAAACTAATGAGATCTAGATTTTCATACTGAGAATCATCCCTGAAAATTTCAAATTGATCCACCAAACGGTTCACCTGAAAATGCGTAGACAAGACTTTACAGACAAGGTTTGAGGACGGAAAATCCAAAATGGCTGCCTTGACATTTACCCAGAATGCCCAAAAACTAATCAGATCTAGATTTTCATACTGAGAATCATCCCTGAAAATTTGAAATTGATCTACCAAACGGTTCACCTGAAAATGCATAGACAAGACTTTACTGACAAGATTTTAGGACGGAAAATCCAAAATGGCTGCCTTGACATTTACCCAGAATGGCCAAAAACTAATCAGATCTAGATTTTCATACTAAGAATCATCCCTGAAAATTTTAAATTGATCCACCAAACGGTTCACCTGAAAATGTGTAGACAAGACTTTACACACGAGATTTTAGGACCGAAAAATCCAAAATGGCCGACAATAAAAAAGTGATTATGAGTTTCTGCTAATTTCTTTCAACAAAATTATCACATATAACTACTGTTAACAATAACATAGGCTTTTACAACAAAGTACACCTGAAATTATTTATAAAGCTAATAAATAGCTAAAGTATGAAAACTCAAAAACACCATTCAATATGATACAAAGTATTATCGTGCGCTAACTTTTCTTAAAACATTCAAAATGGCTGACATGACTGAGCTAACAGGTCCAAAACCTAATCAGATCTAGAATGAAGTGAGCTGAACAAGATGTTAAAGTTTTAAAAGCAACTGTGAAGCCGTTTTTCTTAAAGTTTGCAGACAAGGAATTTAGCATTTGACTTCAAAATGGCCGACAGGAAGTTGGTATCGAGTTAATTTTTTTTCATCCACATCTGTATGCACTCATAAGTTATCCCTGAAAATTTGAAGGTGATATCTGTAGCGGTTTTGGAGAAAACTGCCGGACGTACGGACAGACGGACAGACAGACAGATGGACAGACGGACGCGCCTAGGCCGACAATATGGCCCCACACTATGTGGTGGGGACATAATAAAAGAATATTGAGATGGAATCCTGGCTTCCAATCCTCCTTGCATTGCCTTGAATGAATAATTTTTACCAGTTCAGAGGATGTTTCATATTCACAGATTTTACTGTTCTATTTGGACTAAAACAGTAAAGCAACATGTATGTTTTATGTATGTAGGTTTGTCCTACCCTCTGTTGAGACATATGGGCAGAGTAGACGTCAGAGATCCAAGGCTGCCATGCAAGCTCAACTGGAACAGATGGGAGACCAACTGCAAGCAATTGATCAGATGTCGCATACAATGGAAGGGGAGCTTCAGAATTCAAGAGCTGTGAGTTCTGCATCAACTGCAGTAATTTGTGTAACAATATGCTATGTGCAGTGTCACCTGTAAAATATTCAAAAATTGTAGAATATGTAGTCATGAAACAAAATTGTTTTTCTCTATGATATACTCGTTAAAATAAATATGATAATCTGTATTTATTTTGTGCATTATAAGATGTTTCATGCCGATTCACGATAGCTATTGTATTGCAATGAATGTGGAGAAAGAAGAAATACTGGCCAATACAAGTCATGTGACTCCAAAAATAAATGTAACGTGAGAAAAGACTTTTAAGGAATTCTCTGCTTTTTATCGTACCTAACAAGAGGTACGATATTGTAGTCAGCTTGACGGGCGGCGGGCAGGCGGCGTCTCACTTTTCGGCTTGTCTACAGGTTTCCAGCCAAATCATTTGAGGGATTCATCTGAAATTTTCAGGGATGTTTCTACATATCAACGTCAAGAACTGATTAGTTTTTGGGCATTCTGGGTAAATCTTAAGGTGGCCATTTTGGATTTTCCGTCCTAAAATCTTCACTTTCAAGACTTGTCTACAGGTTTCCAGCCAAACCATTTGAGGGATTCATCTGAAATTTTCAGGGATGTTTCTACATATCAACTTCAAGAACTGATTAGTTTTTGGGCATTCTGGGTAAATTTTAAGGTGGCCATTTTGGATTTTCCGTCCTAAAATCTTCACTTTCAAGACTTGTCTACAGGTTTTCAGCCAAACCATTTGAGGGATTCATCTGAAATTTTCAGGGATGTTTCTACATATCAACGTCAAGAACTGATTAGTTTTTTGGGCATTCTGGGTAAATTTTAAGGTGGCCATTTTGGATTTTCCGTCCTAAAATCTTTACTTTCAAGACTTGTCTACAGGTTTCCAGCCAAATCATTTCAGGGATTCATCTGAAATTTTCAGGGATTTTTTTATTACGTATCAAAGTTAAGAACTGATTAGTTTTTGGGCATTCTGGGTAAATCTTAAGGTGGCCATTTTGGATTTTCCATCCTAAAATCTTCACTTTCAAGACTTGTGTACAGGTTTCCAGCCAAACCATTTGAGGGATTCATCTGAAATTTTCAGGGATGTTTCTACATATCAACGTCAAGAACTGATTAGTTTTTGGGCATTCTGGGTAAATTTTAAGGTGGCCATTTTGGATTTTCCGTCCTAAAATCTTCACTTACAAGACTTGTCTACAGGTTTTCAGCCAAACCATTTGAGGGATTCATCTGAAATTTTCAGGGATGTTTCTACATATCAACGTCAAGAACTGATTAGTTTTGGGCATTCTGGTTAAATTTTAAGGTGGCCATTTTGGATTTTCTGTCCTAAAATCTTCACTTTCAAGACTTGTCTACAGATTTTCAGCCAAACCATTTGAGGGATTCATCTGAAATTTTCAGGGATGTTTCTGCATATCAACGTCAAGAACTGATTGGTTTTTGGGCATTCTGGGTAAATTTTAAGATGGCCATTTTGGATTTTCCGTCCTAAAATCTTCACTTTCAAGACTTGTCTACAGGTTTCCAGCCAAACCGTTCAAATTTTTACATATGTTACACAATGATAAGTTCTAGAGCTGATTAACTTTTCTGCGGCCATCTTGCTTTCTTGGTCAACAAGACCACAATGCTGTGTTTTAGGTACGATATTGTTCACGTCTGTGCCTTGTTTTATATATGTGATTTATTTCATAGTAAAATAGAATTATTACATACACATGTTGCGGCTTTGCAATGGAGCATTATAAGCCACAATAGAATAATAACAAGATTTAAAAAAAGAAAGTATGACAATGAATTTGCAATTGAATTCTTTTTGTACTCCTCATTATTGCAACAATAGTACAGTGAAACCTATAAAGTGGAACACCTGTAGAAGTGGAACACCTCTGTTAGTAGAACACTTTTCAGAGTACAAAGACCAACTCACTTACTGTTAAATGAACCTCTATAACTTGAACACCTCCCCAAGTGGAACACTTTTTAGAGCTACCAAAGGTGTTCCACTTAAACAGGTTTTATTGTAGTTTAATATTATACTCTTGCTTTCTGATATACAATATGTGAAATTTAACATTGCTGCCCAAATGCAAAAATGCAAAAAAATGTTTAGTTCAACAAAGTACATGTATATGCAATATTAGTTCTGACAGGGGATGTAGAAGTAGATCATTTGACTTTGATATTGCCTTTATTCATTATCTATATTGCCTTTATTCATTATCTATATTGCCTTTATTCATTATCTGTGAACCAATCATTCACTGCTTGTGATATTCTCCTTTATTTAGTTACTTCATACAATTGAGGCTGGGGCAACAATAGAAGCCCAAGAACCAGATATATACAAAGATATGGGAAACTTGAGACCTTCACAAGTGAAGCAATACAATACAGGAACTAGGAAGCATGATCAGGTTGGTGCTTTCTCATTTTATTCAGCTATGCAAATGTATAATGTCAATGAATTGTAAGATTTATTGCATGAAATTCTTGTTTGAAGTTTGAAATGAGGAGTTTAGGCTAACATACAAAAATTGAGTAGATGATCACCAGTAATTCATTGAATCCAGCACTTAAAATATTTTCACACATAGCAAAACATTAACAAATCAGGAATTAAAATTCAACCAGAAATCTTTTTGTTTCACAAGAGTAACACATAGGGCTCAGCCAGGCATCAATTTCCAGGCACTAGCCTAACACTAAGGCATGGATGGATAAGCAGCTAGTTGATAAAATTGATTCGTTTTCAAACTACGACATGTTTCCCTTGTAACTGTTTTCATAATGTGCTGTAATGAATGGTAATACTTTGATCTGATTGAAAAAAATGTATCAGTGCAAACATATGTTTGAATTTCTACAAAATTGGCTAATCACATCTTAATATAGTATACAAACAAATTATATACAGGGTGTCAAATAAGTCCTGTCCCCCTGCTACAGCTAAAACCTTAATAGACGGTACCTTTTGTGATATACAATTGGAAAGATCATCCAAAGTTATGTTAACTCACCATCTCTCAAGTATTTTAGATGAAATTTACCTATATTTTCATGATGTCCTTTATAATTAAAGTGCCCTCCTTTAAGCAGGTTTTTGCGTCAAAATGACAAAGATATGACCTCAGAAATACATCAAAAAGTTCATATTTTTCGCATTCCACTTATTCCATAAAAAGGTTTTCACCACTTTCTTTGCACCTCTATTTCTGCACTTCTAGCCCTATCCAGCAATTGGTTAAATTCATTGCCATATACATATTTAGTCATCTTTTGACCTTTCTTATACCGATTCTTAAAATCCTGCCAAATACGCCAAATTGCCATGTTTCTAGGCCTATGGTCACCTCAATTGATACAATGTAAAAATTTGAGAGATTGATTGACATGTGTCAGATATATGCCAATCAATGTAACTTTGGAAGACCTTTCCAATGATATATCACACTTTGTACCAATTATCTTGGTTTTGGCTGTAAAGGGGGGATGGGACTTATTTGACACCCTATAATCAATTATTTTACACATTAATTATTTATTTCGTCAGATTTATATCTGAATATTTATTCCTGATAAACACAAACAAATCAATTATTACTTCAGTTGTTTCAAACATTAATTATTTATTTTTCGTTCATTCATTCAAAAAGTCTGTTCTACTTAAAACATATCAATAATATATAAGGTTTGTAACACAACAACGAAACAGTATTTCTGATAAATATTTACAAACTGTGTCACTGACCTCTTCTAAATTTTCATTGATAACTCCTATTAGATTATAAGTAATATACAACAGAAGTTTATTCTAATAATGAACTGGTTATAAAAGACAAACTTGATTATATCAAGGACCTATGGCAGTTTGTTTCAATTTCAATTATGAATTTTTCTGCATTATTCTATTGTTTTACGTTTTTTTGTCTCTCAAAATCTGATATGATACTGATGTTTTGGATACATGAATAATTAAAAAGATAGGACTGATTTGAATTGTGTTTGTCTATTTCACCTGAATGAGAGATCTTAGCAACTCAATAAGTGTTTCAAAAATTAGTGGAACAAATATTTTTTGTTGACTCGAAGTTAAAGTGTGAATTCTTTCAGGAGAGGGAAGATTATGAAATACCCAATTTAGAAGATAATCTTGCTCCAAAAGAGAGGGTACAGCAAATAAAAGACAAACTAAACCCCAGGCCAACTAAAGTCGATTTCAACCAAGACTATAACAACAGGTAAGAAAATCAATGTGAAATTAATGAAAAGCAACAGTTTTGTAGAGTAATGTTAGTATGACAGAGATCTCCCTAGCATTAAAGATGGGATTTTGAAAATAGGCTTGCACCAACCTGAAAATCCATTTGCACCCACTTGAAAATGAGAAAGATCATGTGAAAATTGTGAAAGTGAGAATTTTGCACCCACCTGAGAAAAATACTGGGGAGATCACTGTATGATATAATGTTCAACAATGCATTTGTCACAAAATCTTTTTAGAATAAAGTTTCATTGTATGCAGCTTAAAATTCAAGGTGATAGCCAAGAATTAAATCTTTGCACAAAGTAGAATGAGTCTGTGGTTCATGTATAATCTATGAATCTTGTGCTTAACTTTCCATACATTAAAAATCATTTTTAATTCTATAGGCAGTACAGTACATGTACAGCATTTGAAAAGTTTGTTTCTTTTTGCTCTAAAAATACCAGAAATCACCAGAACAAGACAAAACTTCGAGGATGTATAGTTTTAATATTTATTATTAAGCTGTGAAAATTAGAGCTTGTAATATATTATAGCCACAGTTTTACATCCGTTTGAAATATACTTGTCTCGATACCGTGGAGCAGTTTGAATGTGGATACTTTTACGTCACAATCAATGTATCCAACCATAATGTGCAGTCCATGCACCTATCTTATCATTGCCACAACATTAAGCCAGTGGGGCTAAGCCAGGGGTCTATATCTCCTTGATGTATTGTATTGTCCCCTAAATAGAATGCACTTTCTAAACCTCCGTATCCAATCCATATAGACATTTTCCTGTTCAATTATTGTCTTCACTAAGTCAATGTTTTCTTTTAATATCGCTGTCCTTTTTCACCCGCTTCTTGGCCCATCCTTGCTGGTTGAGATGCCTTTCTTGAACTTGTTGAACCAGCTTCTAATCATGGAATAGGAACAACAAATGTCTTCATATGTTGCTCTACATGTTCTTACAGTGTCCTTTAAGTCTTTTTCTTATGTTACACAGATTTTAATGCAAAGTCTGTGCTCTTTGATAAGTTCATTCACCATTTCGCTCCACTGTTTGGAAACACCTGGTCCACCCTAATTTTAGTGAACAGAGTGAGTGTGTTTTGACGGAGGATTATGACATCACACTGACAGCACAGTGAGTCCATTCACCTGTAGAACACTATTATACCACTAGCTTTTTGATATGGCAACAAATTTTAAACAAATTACTGTCATTTTCAAAAAACATATTCGTTTTTTTCATTGAATGTATGATTCATGCATTGAATTTTTAAGGTGCTCCACGGAACCAAGTCTCACTGTTGCCATAGCAACCAAAAGTTCACTTCCTTATGAGGAATTATATTTATATTGATGTAAACTCAAGATATATGTATATGGCACATATGCTGAAAGTTTCATAAATAAATCTGTAAAAATAAAAAAATTAGAGCAAAAAGAAACAAACGCCCCTACACTACAAAATATGTACATTTCAAATGTATATTATTGACTGTTTGTAATACAGTATGTACAAATATATATGCTCGTATGTAACTGAAAATTATCATCAGAAACGAAATAGATAATGATATATAAATAATATATAGGTACCCATACCCATAAGTTGCATACTTCAAATATTTATTTAACTGATTGTCAGTCAGTGAACACCTCTAGATCTCCATTCTTAATATTTTATTTTCCAAATCTGAATCCTTTGAAATATTTCAAATAAAATTAAATGTTAAAAAATTTTCAATAAAATATTTTCAAAATAAAACTTTTGAGAATAATCAAAATATATTGTGAGTGCCAGCAAAGATAAAAAAATTGTCTTTGAAGTTCAGTTTTTTGATCAGCTACTCCATAGCGATCCATTCTTTAGGAAAGTAGTCTTCATTATTAAATCCCAGTTCCAAATTACTATGTTCCCTTGGCCAGTGCTTGTAATATATAACTGATCCCTGAGCTAGAAAAGCAGCCCACCAACCAAAAGTTCCTGTAGATATAATTGTATGATCACATTTTGACAGAATTGCCAAGTCTATTTCTGCAGATCTCGCTGAGAATATTATATTGTTATTGACGGGAAAATGTAATTTTGTCCAAGAAATGTCATCTGTACATACAATAAATACGCAATTTGGATAAGATGAATTGAAGTGATGCATCGCATTTTGGAAATACCTTTTTGGAGCTGGTACATACCCTCTGCGGAGATTAGACTGTATCATAATGTCTCCTCGACGCACATGTACCCCAATCAATGTCACATTTGGTTGGCCTGATTTTCGCATCGTGGCAGTTCGTAAAATTGCAACCGCCTTTTCATTTATAGTAGAAGAAAATTGGAACTCTTGCAAAATCTGAGACTTGACATGCCAGAAAAATTTAAAAGATTGTAACCAGTAGAATATTTTCAGATTTCTTTTCTTCGGTAGAGAATTCCATTGTTTTGAATATTTCCCCCATATTAGTTGATCAGTATGATATTCCTGCACATCATTTACACTATCATCATCCATAAGTGGTACACTCAGATTGAATATCTTTTTCAGCTTCATCGTCACTGGAGCTATTTCCATGTAAGGAAGCTTTTTGTTTGTATTTGCCAATCCATATAGTCCAGCATACTCAAACATTAAATTCCCAAGGCGACCCTCGAAGTTCACTGTGAGGTATTCGCTGTTTTCTTGTCCGGAGGTTGTATCAAAATTAAATTTGATTGATTCCAAGTGTATATCTAATGCAACTTTAAAGATGAAAACAGTAATAAATAATTTTGGAATTATTGCAAGTCTTATTTTGTTTGCAAAACTTGAGTGAGGCTTAGCCATTAGTCTTGCTCTTGTAATATACTTTATAATGAATCTAATTTACTCAAACGTTTTATGATGTAGTAAAGGTATCGATACTTCTTTTTTTATGTAGAAAGGAAGCTGGTAAAAACCTGTGGGCTATACAGGATCATGAGTAATTAAATTAATTAAGCAATACCATTCTACCCACAGGATGTCTTCTATTGAGAATTCATTAAACGACTTTGACTGAATATCTTTGTAGTATACATCTGACTTAACCCCTAGGTATTTATAACCTCATTGATATAATAGCAACATTAAATGATAACATCAGTCATATAACTATTAATAAAAGGGACACACAGTGCACTCTGAAGAGCAAAATGGTCACCTTAATAAGCCTACCATGCCCTATTGCCCAAAACCTAATCAGATCTTGGCATCTCTTGCATCTGTAAAAATTTCAAGTTGAACATGTAAGTGGTTTTCCTGGAATTTTGATGACAAGATTTTATTCATGTGGCGTCCGCTTGCCCATCAGCACAAGACGTTGGGTATATAGCACTTTTCAAAGTGTGATAAAAACTACAAACACTTATTATAACACAAGGAGCTCAAATGGATATTGCACTGAGCTAATAAGGCTCCTTCAAAGGGGTGTTGCGCCTAGCTGATATGGTTCAATGGAGTATTTTACCCGACTGGGAGAGTTCAAAGTGGTTGATAGGGTTTAAAGGGATGTTGTATCTGGTTCAAAGGGATGTTCTTCTTGGATGATAGGGTTCAAAATGCTGTTGTTTGTGGCTGATATGTCTCAAATTGGTGTTGTACCTGGCTTATAATGTTCAAAAGGGTGTTGTACCTGCCTGACAGGTTCAAAGTGGTGTTGTACCTTGCTGTTAGGGTTCAAAAGGGTGTTGTACCTGGCTGATATGGTTCAAAAGGGTGTTATACCTGGCTGGTTCAAAGTGGTGTTGTACCTAGCTGTTAGGGTTAAAAAAGGGTGTTAAACCTGGCTGATTGGTTCAAAGGGGTGCTATACCCAGCTGATAGGTTTAAAGGGGTGTTGTACCTGGCTGATAGCTTCAAAGGGATATTGAAGTTCAATGGGGTCTTGTACCTAGCTGATATGGTTCAAAAGAGTGTTATACCTGGTTGAGAGGTTCAAAGGGTGTTATAACTACCTGATTGGTTCAAAGGGGTGTTGTACCTAGCTGATAGGGCTCAAAAAGGTGTTTTACCTGGTAGATAGGTTCAAAAGGGTGTTACACCTGGCTGGTTCAAAGGGGTGTTATACCTGGCTGGTTCAAAGGGGTGTTGAACCTAGCTTGTTCAAAGATGCTATCTATCTAGGCAGGTTGAAAGATAATTAGCTCAGAGGCGTCTTGAAATCATTGAAAATTATACTTACAAATTTTAAAATATGTCTCATCAAATGACAAGTCGCATATTAAACATGCTGTTTGTTCTAGGAGAATCATGTTATTTTGGTACATTTACATGTTGCCTCAATAACCATTAACCTACCTGTGAGTGTCATTAGAATGTTTTCAAATTAGGTTAGAAATCGATATTTTTCATTGATTCTGATGTTATAATTGATACTTTAAGCAAAAGCAGAGTTTTCCTGCCAATTCAAAGCTCGTTATATTTGATTAATTTCAAAATGTAACAGATTGAATATGTTGAATAGCAGTTGTGTATAAACTAACTGTAGTTGCCATGGTAATCCCGGTCAAAGCAACCCTTCATCGACAGTTTAACGAATGCAACTGTAACAAGAGTGATTTTTTCTAAAACCTTTTTTCAATCATGAATAAGCTCATCGCCATTATATTTTTTACTATGAAAATTAACAAAAAATTGCTCTGTTATTTGAACCAGGAAGATATTGAAACTGAATATAATTATGATAAAGACAAGTGCTAGACAATTAAAAACATCATAGAATAGTTATTATTTACAGTTGCAGGTTTGTATTGTTGTGCAGTTTCTATAACAAAAAAGATGATATTGTTGATACGTACAGCTGTAAAGCTTCAATGTAACATTATTTATATAAGCATATTAGGAAATCAGACTTATACTTGGAATAATATGAGGCATAAGGATGCATAGATATAGTCATAGCATTGTAAGTGTTTTTTCAAGTTGAATTTCAATAATATGATCATTTTTAGAGTGTCACTTTCATAAGTGGTAGGTTATTAAAGTAAACATATAGTTAATTCAATTTAATAGAAGGGAGGTGTTATAAGAAATTATAAGGAGACTTCCTTGGCTTGTTGGAGTTTATACAACTATTTTAAATATAAATTAGATAAATTAAGAATAAATTAAACATAAACTCGTATAGCTCATTTTAGAATCATTCTGTTTATGATACATCGCAATCACTTACAGTGCAGTCCAGTATGGTTCAGTACAGTACCATATAGCGTAGTACAGTACAGTATATTGCAGTACAGTGCAACAGTTTAACCGTTGTCTATTTCCACATGTATTTATTGATGTTATATTACTTTTGATTTTCATTTTGCTAAATACTTATAGCATATTGTCCCTCCGAATAAAACATCTATTTAATCCCTCCCATTAAATATGCTTTTTTGTCACATGATATTCATTATTTTTTTTGTTGTCAAAAATCAAACTAGTTCTTATTGGAAAATAGGCAAAGTAAAAACAACTTATTTCCACATTGTTAAGAAAATATTTTCGACATGAGAATACAATTTTTGTGAGAAAGATTGAGAGGGAAATACAATTTTTATCAATATCACATATATTCCCTGTTAATATTCACTGGAAACTAGAGGTATTGTAGGATAAAGGTAGTTATTCCAACCAAGTAGATTTTTACCTATGACGACATATTATTATGATTCACCTTACATATCACATTGAACATATAATTTCAGGGATGAATCTGAGATTGAAGAGAGCGAATCTTATGAAAAGGGTGAGAGCCCTGAAAGGTTATCAACTGACAGTAAGCCTCAAGTAGGAAGTCCAGAAGAAGGAAGTCCTGAGAGATCAGTGACACAGTTTGAATTGACTGGACTAAGTGGAATCAGTGACATCATAGGGGAAGTCCTGGCTGATGAGGACATTAAACCTGGAGACGTAGGACTCACTGAAAAAGAAATGCTTCACCTCAAGAGCAAGGCTGGGTAAATAATATCAATAGGAATGCTGCTTAATTATCATATTGAAATCTTGTTATCCCATCGAACGAAGTTCGGAGGGATATAGGGAACGCCTCCGTCCGTCCGTCCGTCCGTCCGTACGTACGTCCGTCCGTCCGTACGTACGTCCGTCCGTACGTATGTCCGTCCGTCCGTCCGGGCAATAACTCAAATACCGTTGGCCCGATTTTGTTCATATTTTGTACACATATACCTTATGGGGGTAGAAGTTCTGCTCGAAAGCCGATTTTCAAAATGGCCGCTCATTTCAAAATGGCGGCCATTTTAGTGCCGATTTTACAGTAATTTAGGTGCAATATGTAAAACTGTTATATCAATATGTTTTAAATGTAAAAAAATTATAAAGGACATTAATAATGCTACAAATGTAGATATTAAAGAAACACATGGCAGCCATCTTGAAAAATGGCGGCCTTTACTCGTCATTTTACGATTTTTGCTATAACTCAAAAAATAGTGGAGCGATTTTGTTCATATTTGGTATGTGAATACTATAAGCATTGTACACTGTCCTATGACACTTTTGGTAGAAGGCGGCCATTTTGAAAAAAAATTGAAAAATGGCCGCCATTTTAACGTATTTTACTATAACTCGAAAAGTAGTGGAGCAATTTTGTTCATATTTGATATGTGAATACTTTAAGCATGGCACATTGTCTAATAAAACTTTGGGGAGTAGTCGGCCATTTTGAAAAATGGCCACCATTTTTATGTGAGTTATTTTACAAGTACGTGTGCGATTTTTCAAAAATTTTAGAGGTGGCTACTGAAAAGCATATTATTTCTTCTGATGACAACTTGGCTAGTGAGCAACCATTTTGAAAATGGTGGCCTTTCTGGTGTGTTGTTTTACGATATTTGCTATTCGTTTGTAAAAATGCCAGCCATTTCTGTTCGATGGGATTCGCTACGCTTTGGCGTTGCCGTTGTTCTGGTTATTAAATTTCTTAATATTGCTCAAATCTGTAATGTTCAACATATACTGCAATTGCGAAAACTCGTAATAAAATTTTCAGGCCTGACAAAGGTGAGTTGACTACCAGGGAGTTACAGGCAATATTTGGTGATCCAAAACACAAAGGCCCCATCAGCCCCCAGCGCACAGAGGCACAGAGAAAGAGGCTACATGCATGGATGGCAGAACGAAAACAACAACAGGACACAGCATACAGACAGCAGCTGGATGAGAGAAGGGGCCTGGAGAGGAATCCTTATGTGCCAAATGATGATATTTTCAATAAGGTAATAGATAGGTTTCATATGTCTGTTTATAGCCCCAAATATTTATGGCCTGAGCCTTGGTTTTAGTGGCCTGGGGGCCATTAACAGTTACAAATTCGTATATCAATTGTTGTTACCATGGATATAATGACGTCACAGTTAGAGAACAATGGACTTTACGAATTTAAGAAGTTTCAGTTAATAGCCCCCAGATTATTATAAAAGAGAGGACCAGTTGAGATGTACATGTTTATGTTGTAGAGTGCTTCAACAATGAAGGAAATCCAAGAATTAGAAAACTCTAGGTTAAATGAGAAGACTGAGAGAGAAAGTGAATTTGATAGAAAGCGTCGTAAACAAGCAGAAAGACTGATGGGTGAGATACTGTCTGATACCCTAGAGTTGCCAGATGATAACCCAGCAAGACTGATGCCAGGTAACATGTTATTTTTATTGATGAATATATTATAAAAACATTTTTGCACATGTACATGTCCATCTCTAAAATGCCAACATCAGCTCCCCATACGACCATATGTTAAAGTCTGTTCATATTGGGCAGTTTAAAAAATCCCCTTTGACTTTCTGAATATTGTGATTATCTCAAACATAAACCAGGGATATTGATGGTCTCCTCTAGTTATCGCATCACAGATTTTGTAAAATTCAAGTCGATTAACCTTCTATATTAACCTTAACAGATGCGTCAAGGAAAATTAAAATTTCACAGAAGAAGAAGGCATTAACAAGAGGCAGGACTCCTGATGACTTCCATAGATATGAAACTCCAATGGATAAGTATACAGAAAGTCCTGATGAATATAGAGACTCAAGACTCAGTCACTACATCCAGGATGATTATGCAAAATATCCTCTGCCAGATCAGCATTTTGGCCAAACTAGAACTATACAGCATTTGGCTCAAACTAAATCACAACCCAGAGCTTCCACAAGTAATCAACAACAACAGGGCCAAAGAAGAGAAGGCATCAGAGACAGAAAAGGACCTGAGAGCACCCAAGGTAGAGATGAGAGGAATCAGAGGAGGTATTTGGAGCCTCTAGATGAAGAAAATGAGGACAGTTCTCGTCCAGTCCCTTCACCCCGTAGAAGCATTCAACAAAAGAAGGTGAGCCAATTTAATCTTTTTTTGATATGCAACTCTTACTTGAAAAATACTGAATTGATTTTGTCAACTTTATATGAAAATACTTGGAAGCATGAAGTATTTTCTTTTGATAATTTCCCAATATAGTGAACAGTTTGAAAAATTGAAAACGAATGGATTTATTCAGTATACCAATTAAGACAATGATTTATAGAATTTGCTGCCCCCTGGCATTATCATAGACTAATTCATTTATTACATAAATTAAGGATGATGAGAGAATGAAAAGCACTTACAAGGCAGCTCCATTCACCAGTAAAGTGAGACTTCAGAGGCCTGAGGTGACCCGCAAACACAGGGAACAACACAGGGAATCTGAACCTTATGTTGACAGACTGGCCAAGCTAACAGCTACTGAGGGTAACTTTGATGTTTCCACCCCAATCACTCCAAGAACTAGGACTGGTCTTAGACCTAGAGGTAAATAATATCTATCAAATGGTAACCTTGTACAGGAGGTTGGGATAGGAAATATTACCCATTCTGATTGTACACTGATATAATAAGGCTAATGTTTTTTGGCCCACTCTGTTTTATAACAGACTTATTTGGAATTTTTGACAAATGAAGGTGACAAGAAGGTAGAGATTCAGAAAATCAAGAATCAAAGCCAAAGCTCACATATGACACCATGTAGCTCTATTTTCAGTACCAGCCACTCAGGAAGCTCAAAATCCTATCAGACGTGGCATGCGGACCTCCCCTCAGAAACGCCGTCCTCTCACTTACACAGAGCGCTTGAAGCAGTTGCAGCCTCCTAAGTCCAAGTCCACGAGGATAATGAATGTGCTGTCTCCCAGAAAGACCCAAATGAGGACACAGCCTGGCCCAACACATAAGCCAAAGACATACACTCAACAACTTCAAGAGATCAACGCAGCTGCACCTAGGGCCTCTTTCAGGAGAGCCTATTGTAAGTTCCCAAATAGTTCAAGGTAGAATGTCAGAGTTAGGAAGGGAATAACCAGCTAATAAATCCTCTACCATCTCGACCTGTACTTGTAAGACATTTGGATTTTTAGACAATGTGAACTATTAAGAACAAAAGTTATGGCAAAAATTATGACAATTTTAGCTCTGACTAACAGAGGTTTTAGCATTTGAATGCACTGTTAGTAAGACCTGGTTATTTTTATTGAATGCAAACATGGGTTAATTAGTATCACAAGTTTGACATAGGTCATGCAATACAATACAGTAGAACACAATTCAATCCAATTAAAGACTATCAGTTATCACACGTTTCAGCATGTGATACAGGAAATATTCCACGAAGGTAATATATTTATTACCCGAGTGGAATATTTCCTGTATCACATAAGCTTAAACATGTGATGACAATTTTATCACATGTCTTGGAATGTTGAATTGAAGCATTTTGATTTGGTCATCCTGCACGTGCATTGTGATTGTGTTCAGTACCCTGTACTCCCAGTAACTATTACAATTTTGTGTATTTTGAAAGTTCGCTTTGAAATAATATGACGTCATGCTGTTATATTCGTACTTGTTAGTGAAATAATGACGTCATGCTGTTTTCTTTAGCTATGAAGTGATATAACCAGTGACGTCATGTCGTTGCTATTGACTTCATAGTTATACAGCTCACCGTATCACATGAAAATTAGTCACGTGTCATGTGATACAGAATATTTGTTGTCACAATTGACCAATCAAAATGCTTAGAAACCATGTGATAAAATACAATACAATACAATACTATACAATATATATTTAACATGCTGGTTATGTTGCAGCTCCTGCCCCACTGACCAGTAGGGCAAGATCAAGAGCCAGACCCTATGCTAGCCCCTATGCTGAAAATATAGACAGCGACCAAGATACTGAACTCAGCCCTTGGTCAGTGGACAATGATGTAAGAAGGATCCTTTATAGAGACGATAGTTACACTGTAAGTTTAATCATTTTAATTGTAACCACTAAGAAGTGGTGAATATTAGCCATTATTTTATGACTGACATTTGCTGTCACAAAATGTCAAAAATTGGCCAATTGACCAATTATATTTTCAAAATCATCTACAATTTATCAGAAGTTTAAGTGACTTAAAGCCCCCGATAAAACGGGCTACGTATACCGCCGTGTTTACATTAGGGGATTAGAAGAGTTTATTTTTACGTAGGTATGCAAGCAATATCAATATTAGGCCTTCATGCATGTACTCGTGTGTACAATTAGCATGCCCTTCAATATTATATAAGCCAGGCTATTCAAGTACAACATAATGTACACTATTTATGTGTGTACTACATGGGAATACAATTCCCTGGGAAACAAAACACAAATACTTTTTATATGTTCAAAATGAGCCATTTGATTGATGCATACACTTAATACCTTCATAATATATAAACATCTACAAAGTATATCTAATAGTTATTTTCAATTCCAATGTTGAAACTTGCCTGGTTACGATTATACGGGAAATCAACACTGGACAATAGTTGTACACCTTCCTGGCTTACCTCTGAAGCCTGTACCCTGTAATCTCTTTATATAGGTTAGCGAGAGCGCTGCGCCTGCGCAGTTTTAAATTTTGGCGCACACTTTAAGATTTGAGATTTGACCTTCTCAAGTAAAGGTAAAAAAAGTCAAAAGGATCTTTTTCCGACTTTCCTCAAATTGACCAATTATTTTTTTCAAAAACATCTACAAGTTCTCAACAGTTCAAATCTGACTATAGATTTGGCATTCAATGACATTCTCAAGGTAAAAAAAGATTTGACCTTCAATGACCTCAAGCTCAAAAGGGTTTTTTCATCTTACTTCAAATTTACAGATTCTTTTTTTCAAAATCATCTACAAGTTCTCAGAAATTCACATCTGACTTAAGATAGAACGCATAATATTGTGACCAACTAGGTGGTGACATTTTTTCATGTTCTTTTTATTTAATTTTTGTAACCATTTGCAATGACTTACCATTAGTGGACATTCTCTCATGTTAATATCTCATATACTTAATGTTATAATAGCTCTATAGGAAAAAGTCCACTTCCAATTCGCACTCTGAGCTGAATTTTAATATTTCATGGTGCTGTATCGTACCATAGCTGAAATAGTACTGTTGCGAATTGACTATGTAATTTTCACGATCATCCTTGGAGCACATCCGTGCAATAGTTCAGATGATGTTTGACAATAGGACCATAACCCTGTTCTTAAAACAGTCAATAGAATAATGTTGAGAAAGGTCCAATTCCTTCTTTGTGTGTAATATGTATAAAATTCTGTTGGTGTATTCCAGGGGATAGTAAGCCATGCACAAAGTCAACTGACTGATCCAGATGAGATGTCATATCTACAGGGTGACTACAATCATGGAGACTACAATATACAGGGTGATTATACAGCTTCTGTGGATATAGCTGACTTGGTTCAGGTTGATGAGCTCTCTATGAGCAATGGAAGTATAATGAGCTACATAGACTGGGATGCTGTAGATGATCTTATTGCTGATGTTAAATAGCTAAAGCTTGGTAGCTAGATGTGTGTATATCATATACATTTAGCTACATGTTCATCATAGCCCATTTTAAATCTAGATTCTAGATATGTACCAAATCTAGATAATGTTTTTTTTGTTTTTTTTTGTTTTATTTATACAAAGAATACTTTTATAACAAGTGCACATGTGCTTGTGTCTGGGCATTAGCATTATCAGCCACGTTATATGATGATAATCATTTAACAGTATTCAAACAAACACTAATATAGTAGTTGTATTTGTGGAGGGTTACAGTGGTGGGAGTGACCTAGACATTTTTTACATCCTTCAAAAAAGATGGCACTACATTTGAGGCTATTCACGTTTACAGCTTTAGGTAGTCTTTTATCACCATTGAGGATGAGAGAGAGTTTGTCTAGTTGTGATCTAGATCTATATTTGGTAGAATATTCTAGATCTATATATGGCAGAATATTATATGTTCATATTTTTAATTCATTTTCAAATTCTGTCCAAAATGTTGATCTCAGATATGTGTTGAAAAGGTCTGAGCTGATTGCTATGTTTATCAAGCTAACTATTGAAGTTAATATAACTTTGGTGCATGCCTCTGCTAAAATTGATCCCTGGTTTAAACTATAGATCTAGCTTGACTGTAGGCCCTACCTCATGCTAGAAAGCTAAAGCTTAGAAATTATTTCAGTTTCATGAAAAATAGGGATTTCATATTCAGTCTAAAAAATACTTCATATCTAAAAAAATTGTGATATGGAATTATTTCTTTAATAGATATCAATTCATTTAGATGATTTAATAATCAATTCCAATATTTTTGTGTAGCTTTGTCAAGCCATTGATTTTATATATTTTTATAAATCATTGTGAACTTTCTACATTGTGCAGTTCTTGAAACCATCCTGCTTTATAATGTTTTCTGCTGTGTGTATAACAGTTATCTATGTTGTTCTCTAGGGATATTTTTTATTTTTGTTCAGCTGTTCAGTAACTTATGACATTATGACAATTCTACTAATTTCTATGCATGATTTATAATTTTTATTTGTAAATCTCTAATTAGATTGATTTAACCTCTTATCTTGGATACCAGATCCTTCCTCTTTTTGCCAGTTATTGTCATTTAGTTTGGGATAGCTATGATAAACCCATCACATATTGTAATTTGTTTAAATGGATAATGGATACAAATTGTCACACTTTTGTAAGAAACCCTAGTTATCATGTCATTCTGGATATCCAGGTGGTTTTTAATATGAAACATTGCATTAAACTTAATACATTAAAACCTTCAAATATGGACACCTTTGGTTTGGTTTTCTCAAAGGGATGTTAACTTTTACATGTATATTGTACCTATTTCAAATATTTAAGATTTCAATAAACCCTATGGTGGTAGTTCAAATCCTCATTGATGACACCATATTGAATCGTAAACAATTTAAGGTGTTTATACAACATGTACTTTCTTGATGACAAGTGAAATAAATTCATCACTTTTCAATCTTTGTTTTTGTTAATGGGATAAATTAAATTATCTTAGATGTACATGTACATTTTAAAGTAAAATTTCTACAAGAATATATAAACTTGTTTGATAAAAGCAAAATAAAAACGTTTGTATTTTTGTTGGTATTGTCTGATGTGATGTCCATATTCTATGGAAGTCCATGCTTGTAATTTACAAAGGAGGAGGGAAAGTGTCACAACAGATTTCGGACAGTCATATGTTGGATTTTGGCTATTCTCTGAGGATTTAAACAAGTGCGTATGTTAGATCAATGCATTACCTCCAGGAAAAGCACTCATAGAGATGATAAAATAATTTCATCTTTGATACAGGGGAGGTGCAAACAACCCACCCACGTTTTTTCTAAAATGTTCTGATTTTCAACCCCTTCCACCCCTTGTTTTTTCAATTTTTGTTGTATCAATATGTTGAGTTTTGACCACTTTAAAGGAATAAGTGATTCCTTCAGGGGTTTTAAAGATATCCATTATGGGTGACCAAACTTAGCTGAAAGCAATGGATCACATGAGTTTTCCCTATGGGAAAATAACATGGGAAATATTGTTTTCCACTTAATCTAAAAGGAATCACTTATTCCTTTAAAGGGGTTAACTGTGTGTCAAAATGCAACATATTGATGCAGGAAAAATTAAAAAATCAGGAAAACATTTCAGAGAAAACATATGGGTGGGTTGTTTGCATCTATCCTGTCTTAAAGTTGAAATTATTTTATCATCTCTAGAAGTGCTTTTCCTGGAGGTAATGCATTCGCCTAACATATGTACCTGTTTAAATTCTCAGAAAATGGCCAAAATCTAACATATGACTGTCCGAAATCTGTTGCACTAATTTCCCCCCTCATTTGGTTCCAGCTCTTACTTCCCCCTTGTTTTGAAGAGATCTTTGTTGTTCAAATATTGTATAATTGTATCATCTGTAATCTTCCAAATAGATCAGATATTGTATTGAAATTGCAATCGATATTGAAAAGTATTAATGTCAGTTGCAGCTTCCCAGTTTCATGTTTTTTTTCTAGGCACTCTACAAATACATAAAAATATTGCAAAAAGTTTATTTTAGCGAAACTGCAACGTTACATACTAACTTATTGATTTCATGATGAGCTAGTTCTATCGATTATATCATCTAATTGAAACCCCATGATTATATTCAGTTATCAAATAGTATTATATGGGTTATACTGTACTAGATATTTTTAATTTGATCTATTTTTTTAAATTGACATACTTTTTAAAAATGAGAAGAAAACACCATGATGTAAGGCCATCGAATGGTGCAATTTTTGTAAACTTTCAGAGCACATTGAAACTGAGTACAAGCTTTGGAAAACTGTTTTTAATGGCATCTCATTATATTATTTAGTATCCCAATCTGATCCTATAAGATTGATATCACATACAGACAAAATAAGAGTACATTATTATCCCATCAAATTTTGTTCATATTTTATATACATGTGCCCTATGTCAGTGGAAATTCTGCTTGAAAGCTGATTTTCAAAATGGAAGTTTGTTTTAAAATGGCGGCTATTTCAGTGCCAATTTTACAGTGATTTAGATAGAAATACTGTAATGTTAATACATTTTCAAGGAAGTGAAGTAATTTTGTAAAGTGGACAGCCAAGCACGTTTGATGGGATTTGCCACCCTTGGCGTCGCTGTTGTCTAGCTTTGTAAGTTCCCTTTCAAGAAATGGCAGCATATTGTTATAGCCACCATTTTTACTGGCATTCGGTGTTTGATTTATATACAGTAGCTAGGTAGAACCAATTCAGTATTTATAAATATTAAATATAGATCTCTGATGAGATGGACTATAGACTTACTGGGTCCCCTTCCATATCAGATATATATACAATATGTATATATCTAAAGACCTTACAGGTTCATTAATAAACAATGCAAAATGTCACCACCTGCCATTTGTTACAGACACTGAACATCAGTCACTGTCCACAAAAAAAGTTAGAGACTATAACAATATGTCACCACTTTAAGGTAGACTAGGTAAATGGCAGAAGAGTGGGTTGCATCAACTTGTCAGACAAGACTGCAGAAATGGCCACCTCATGATATACCTTGATTAGCCAAAAAGTACCATGATGTAAATTCTGAGGGTGAAACCCCTCCCCTTGCTTTTTGGGTTTGCGCTAGCAGTGATGGGGGGGAGGGGTACACTGTGTATAAACCTTGACGGGGATCCTCTGTCCACATGGGGTACCTTTTTGACATTTGGTATGGCAATGGACCCAAATTTTAGGATCTGGTATAAGAATGCCCCCCCCCCCAAAAAAAAAAATTACTTGAGGTATGGCAATGGTCAGATTTTTCCACTTTCTAGTCTGAGAATGGTCAGGGAAAATATATAAACTCAAACTTGTCGTGTGACATTCGTCCCGTAGCTACATGTCACATATCCTTAATTTCAGGTTGTTTTGGATCGTTTTCCTCAAAGATCTGCCTTCTTCTTGGGGCCTCAGTGTGTGTTTTCTTGGCATTGGTCCCTATATTTGGGCATTTGGTATGGCATTGATCCTATATTTAGATATTTTGTATGGCAATGGTCTTACATTTGGTATGGCTTTTGAGCTTTTTTTGGTTGGTATGGGAACACATTGAACTTTGACAGATTGGTATGGGAATATATTGATATCTGAGGGTTCAGCCTAGGACCCCCGCTGAATGTTGTATGAAGTGAACCCCCTGGGTGGGAAACTCAAATAGTTTGTTGGCTACGCCCATGTATAGTCTTCACAATTTATGTTAATCAAAAGCTTAGAATTGTTAAAAAGAGGAAAACAACTCCTCGTCCATCTTCACTTTCCTGGGGAATGTTGCTCCTCAAACTTTCCGAAAGTCGTATACGCGACCTGTCAAATGTGTGATGCTTTTAAAAATCCCGCCAAGAACTCTATAATTGTCCAACCAATCAAAATGAAAGTAGGTCAAGGCAATAATTGAATAACATCCGGGAACTTTTGTACTTCAGGTCAGCCATATTGAAAAGCGATTCACGAGTTGAAAAAGTAAACCTTCAAAGACGATAATTTTCGGAGGATCCCGATGGATTTATGGATATATTCTCCAATCATATCAGAAGAAGTTGGGTTCCAATACCATTGTGGTCTGTTTTGAGACGTGTTGAAAACTGAAAATGACGATTCAAACGACATTGTTGAATGTGTAAAATCGAAATGAAAACTTGTTTGTGGAGTATTTATGAAAACAACAACAATGTTTATTCGATCGATGCAGGTCGTTGTCATTACTGCCTTTATAGGTGCGTATAGTTTTAATGTTTTAGGAATAGTGTCTATATGTTTATATAGAGGCCTTTCATCTAGATTGGCCTTTGATGCACAATCCAAAGAAGTGTGAAAGCTAAGATGGTCAATCAAAACAAAATGGCCACACTTGACCTAAGAGAATGAATGGCTGGAATATATTTATTTTGAGGTGTAAAATGACATCAGAATAACCTTGTCATTTCTTATTTGTTGTTTCAGAACTGCAGTTTCATGTCTAAATCACTACAGTCACCTGTTTTCTAGTGTACGACAGTTTCAATCACTTTCTGCATTTGTGAGCTTTTCAAGCTTCGACTGGCCAACAGAATACTGTGTTTATATAATGTTTCATTGTTCTTATCATGTTGTTCATGTTTTGGTGAATTCAGGATCGGAATTACATATATTGGCCCATGGTGTTATACTATAGCTCTATTCCAATCAGTTCTGTTATGATGAATTGGCTCCTGTCCAAAATGTCTCCATATGATGATCTCTATCAAGATTCAGTAGTGTCACCATATGTCATTTCTTCAAAATATCACATTTGTCTAAAAAAGCAAGTTGATATGATTTTTAGTGTTCCCAAATCAGGAAATATATGTTGCAATGATTATATTGATGGTGGAAAATGTCAGTTTCAGTTTCCCAAGATGAGGATAAGGAATCAGTAGGTTTAGAGTAGGCCCATACATGGAAATGGGAAATTCTTGATAAAATCTCTCCTGTACCTTTTACTGTTAGAGATAAAAAACCTTTAGAACAGCTACCCAGGCCCGTAGCCATGGGGGGTTCGCAGGGTTCGGGCGAATCCCCCTGGCCAAAAATTCTTTTAAAATTGTGCAGTTTTCCATTATTTTGAGCACTTCTCGAGTGATTTTAGCCATATTTGGGCCAAAATTGTCAAATGTGAACCCCCTGGAAATCTTTGGAAACTGAACCCCCTTGGCAAATCATGGCCCGGCTAGGTCTAACCTCCATGACCATTTTGCCTTTGATGCGTTAATTTAATCGTTCAGCAGGTTTCGACAAGCGGAACAAATTAAACCCTGAAAACATGGCAATATTACACAAAGAATGTGATTCAAACATGCATACATACCTTATAAACACATACACCCCGTCCCGTATCCCCCTTAGACCCTATTGATGCATAATTACGAAAATATTGGAGACAGGTTTGGAAATGACGAAAATGTCGGTCAGTTTCGGTAACATCGAAATTGCAAATCGTTTCAGGAATTAACCGTCATCACGGCACTGCATTAACGAACAGTGGGTTTGCAATTAATAACTGTTTTGCGTGTATACACGCGCTATATAAATTAATCAAAGATACCTGTTATCCTCAAAATTGATCTTTTTATCCCGAGTAATCGCGATGATAATTATCAATCTATTTGACAACGATTTCGTTTCGCTGGTAGTTTAATTTTACGATCCGGGACACTCAGACGAACAGACACAATGACGGACATGCGGAATGTCACTTTAGAGATTGGTAAGTGTAGCCTCATTTTACTCGTATAAATGAACATTTAACACAAAAATATTGTGTTAAATCGCTTGATGTTATGTGTTTTTATATTATTGTCAAGTATCAGTTGCACGTTATCGCGGAAAAATGGTTTCGATGGATTCAGAACTTGCATCAAAGGAAAGAATAGTAAGGAGGTTAAACTCAATAATGGCCCCAAAAATTCCTAATAATAAAGAACGCCGTTATTGAGTTTAACGACGTTGAACTAGGCTACGGGCCTGCTACCATTGCCTATATACATGTACTTTGAATATGAAATAAAGGCCAGCTTTATGAAAGTATGAATTTTGTGACTATAATTCAGATACTTATTCATGCTTGCTTATAAATTTGAAATGGGAAATTCTTTTTGTGCGCCTTTTCTGAAATTTGAAATTGAGATATTTTGTTCAGTATGGTTATTGGAATGTAGTAGTACACATACACTGTATATACTTTGGATAGATACAGATGAACATCTGTTGTGAACCAGTAATTACTGAATTTTTGACGTTCAGTATTCAAAATGAATATAGTGCAAGGTATGGTTTATATAAGTAATTATGTGTAGTGTAAATCTGTCAACCAGGACTTATTTTACAGTATTAAAATCACTTCAATACAAGCAAGTTGGTCTCCATTAATAAACATAATCAATTATATTAAATAAAATAAGTTATGTTTGAAACTGACAAACATTCTAAGTCCCCATTAATAAAAATGATAATTAGTGTTTATTAAATAATGTTTATTAAAAAACTGGACAAAATAGTTCTATTTGTATACATATTAATTCGTAAACAGTACATATATTGGTGTTGGTATTCTCATGCTATGTTGTAACATTACTGCTGTTTACAGTTAGGTATGGATTAAGATAGCGTCTGGGGCAATGTGTTTCTAGACAGAGTAGCATTTGGCTTAATTTGGAAGTTAAACCTTACAAAGCTGTTATACTACATGATAATCATTTCATGATTTGGAATTCGCATTTATCTCTACATTATCATTTTCTTTGTATGAAAAGGATAATTATTAATGACCTTGATCTTTCATACAATATTAGTAATACATACTTGTAGCATAGCTGTGCATAGAAGAGCTACCATGGAGTGGACTGGCTGATGTGAAAGTTTCACAGACAAAACGATCTGCTTGTTGAAACCTCCTGGAAGGAAGAAGTTATCCTTCACCTTTGGAGTCTCGTGTTGTGTTTAAGAGTTTCATCATGAGGGTTATTTCAATAGACTAGATGCGAGTAGAAATAATCTTGATTTACGTCATCAAAAATTCAAAATTCAGTCAAACTGATGTCATATTTGGAATTTACATGTAGAATTACATCTAGAAATGTGGTTTTGAAAAGAGTTTATCAACTTTGAAAATTTAATCTTCTTGGAAAATGGGACTTCTAGGTCGGGGGGATTCCCCATAGAGCCCATGTTGTAAAATCACAAAAGGTGAAATATCTTTTCTTGTGTTGGGCAGATAATATTTTCTTTTACTGGGCATATTTTAATTTGTATAACTATCAGATACAAAAGGGTAATATGAAAAGTGAACCACTAAAACTGATGAATATTCAAGTTTAAGGGAATTTTGTAATACCCTGCCATGTTATTTCCCCCGACTCAGCCACCTGGTGGCGAAACTGGTAACTACCTACTCGCATCTGATTAATTATGTTTGCATACCTTCTTTAGAGAAAAGTTTTTTTTACAAAAACATACCTTTTGATGACATATTATGTTCCATACATTTGTCTTTTTGGTATGTTTTTGTTCATTTTTGGTCAGAAATAAAACATTTCTATTTATTTTCTGCTAAGTGATCATTCATAGAGTCATTAATTACATAAAAGGGAGGGTAAACGGATATTGATTTTTAGTTTCCTTGTGTTTCTCTTCTGTAATTTCTGGTTAGATTATTATTAAATAGACTCAACAAATATATATGTGTGTAGAAAGAATTTATAATGTGTTCTTTATAGCAGTATCAGATGTATGCTGTGGAGTTGTGCTTGTACTGCACGCAAGTCAACATTTTGACTTTGGGGAGGGGGAGGTTATCAGTTATCACATGTTTGAGCATGTGAGACGGGAAAACTCACATGGTAACCAACCAATCAGATTACTGGAATTTACGATTTTTGAGGGACATTGAAATATTGACACGGCCCCTTACATCAATATCACTGTCTCTTAACTGGCACAATTTTACATTGGGAGGTGTAAATCATATTTATCTATCTATATAGACCTAATGTCATGTTGGACTATAAGGTCAATAATTTAAATGGTGTAGCAACTTAATCTTTTCACTGGATGGTAAAATATTTTTCATGGATGCTTTGGACATGGAAAATCGTGAAAAGTTTGTCCAGTCACCAATTTTGAAATGGCTGTACTTGGTAAACCTGGTTATCCTGAAACCAAAAAGGAAGTAGTAGCGGAATCAATTGGTGAATGATCTTGCGTTTTCATACTAAAGTTTGTTTTTGAGTTTTTTCTTTTAGTTTTATGTATTTAAAGTTATTTAAGAGACAGGGCCCTTTTTCTAAAGCCCTTTTTAGAAAAATAATTGAGATTACACAGGATACCTGTTATTTCAACTTCTTAACACAATTTTAATTGAAAATTCAAATTCCAAACTCCTTATCTCACTATAATTCACCAATGGAGAATGGGAATTGAGCAACCAAACTTGGCACAAAGTTATATCCTAGGATAAACTCTAATCTTAAGGCTTTGATTTTTTGTGATATCATATATTTGCCTAGCAACCACATAGCAACTGCCTAAAATAACATATTTTACAATATAAATCCAATTAATATATGCTAGGATGCTATAAGACCATTACAAAAAGTCTTCTTATCCTAAAATACAACAATTTTAACATATTTACAGAAGTGACATCAATATGTTGCATAGCAACAACATGGCAACAGGTTACAATGTCCATTTTGACATTTGCAGACCATATATCTATTATATGGTCATTGCTTTTGGATCTCTTCCACATTATTTCTTAACATATAGCAAATGTATTGATGCAGTTATGTCTGACCATTTTTCCTAGCAACGGCTTGAAATAAAGGTTAAATTTTGCCTACCAACGACCTAGCAAGATCTTAAAATAGCAAGGATTTCACTATATATACACCATATGTACTTGAACAAAATCAATATATATGTATTTTATAATTTATAAAGCTTTATATAATAGTTGCTCACTTAAAAATCTTAAGTCTCTTGTGTAAAGCATGATGGGACATTTCTTGTCTTATGTATATCAAATTGCAATTCATGTTTCAGTTCTGAGATAAAGTAAACACAAAATATTCATCACACTGGTACTTGATACATTTTCAGTATTGATACCCCTAAGATAATACTTTATTTTGGTGAACTGCTTCAATTTTCTTTGCAGGTGCATAGTTCGATGCAGTAGAATACACCACAGCATTTGCAG